AGAAATACCTTCCAAGAATCGGAGTACCTTTACTTTCTACCTTCTAAAAAAAGTTTGAACATTTTCTTATCGCTTTTCTTTTCAAGTATGATCACTTTTTTGATCAAAAAGTTATAAAAGAGCATTGAACTCTATTCAGATATCAATGCTGCGAAACAAGCGAGTCATAGACCCTGCTGTTAATGAAAAATGGCACAACGCTTATCGTATACCAATCATTCTATATGTTAAGTTCATATTGAAAGAATTTCTATAAAATTGAAAATTTAAAATTTTTGAATTGCAAATTTGAGTTGTAAAATTGAGAACATTTGTGTCGCAATATTATATAAATGCAAACAGAAATTAACGAGATTTTTAGCTTCATCACTGGTTTATTTCTTCAAGAGATAGCGATCGAATCATGAAATCCGAACTAAAAATCTAGGCGACATAGGAATCATCTTTTGTCATAAGACAGAGTAAGTCGCAATGTTTGAACTGAATATGGACCAGTGAAAAGTATGCGATCGAGCCACGATGCTTGAAATGATAAGCAGTGCATAACTCGATATCTCAAACAAAATAAAATTGTGTTGAATAAAAACAATAGGTTTTTAAATTTAACTAAATTGTAATTGTAAAATAAACTGCAATTTCCATTTGGTCTAATCGACTACTACTTGCTGAATATTCTCAAATCTTTATTCATCTAGAAAAAGTCGAATAAGGCGAATTCAAATTTCAAAGGCTATAGCTAGGAAAGATTTTGTTTTGAAATTTTGTTGCATCATCACTTCAGCTTGTATCTATTATTCACGATCCCTTTACGCCGTTTTCCCCTTAATGAGTTAAATTATCTCTCACTTCTTTTGTTCATAATTGGAATTAGGTGTGGGAGAAAACATTTGACAGGGTCTCACAGCATTAAAACTGGGAAAATGGGTCAGGGCCGATTGACCCATTTTAAAGGATATGATGAAATGAAATGTTTGTTAATTATTAGCAATACATTTGAATGATTAAAAATATACCGAATTTTTTATTATATTTTCAGAAATTTGAAAAGTATAAAATATTAGCTGAAATCTTCACAAGCTTCGCAGAAATTTTTCATAATTTTCCTCGATTTTAAAAATTGCCAAACAAAACTTGAATTTTTTGATTTCGAAATGCTTATACAAAGAACAGAGATCTTCTTGTTGATTAAATATTTGATTATGAAGCGTTAAAAGCTTAAAAAAAGAAGGCATTGACAGCAATGAATAAAAACCCACAACAATTCCCTGGCAAAATTAATCCGCTCCATTGCAAAAGAATTTCTGGCAGAAGCAATGCTCGTGAAATGGTGAAATAATAAAGCAAAGCATGACATCCATAAGAAGCAAAGGCCAAAACAAATGCAACGAATATAAAAATTTATCGCGAAAGACATTTTGCAAAAAGATTATTCTTCAATCACCAAAAAAAGTTTTAACCTGAGATGGCCGAAAATTTTGGTTTTCTAACTGATTTTACAATAATTTCACTATTAATACAATAATTTTACATAATAAGTTATCGACAATTTACTACTAACCAGTGGCCTGTTTAAATGCTTTCAGAAATCTCAAATTGTCACGATTTATCAGAATGCCGCTGGTGACTCACCTGTACTTCCAGCCAAGTGAAAAAAATCTCTACCTACAAACAGATAGCGCAGTAGTCTAACCAGAAACAGTAACGGAAATTTACTAATATGGTGACATTGTACAATTTCGATGGACGACGCATAATGGCAGAAATCTCTCAAATCTTTATTTATTTTTTCAATACTTACAGCAATAGAGCAGAAAAACAACATAAAAGTGGCTAAATAAATTTATGCGACTGAAAGAAAAGGTGTTAATATTACGTTAAATACTCTAATCGAACAGCATAGTAAGCAGAAAGAAATATTTCGGCAATTACAAAGGAATACGCTGATTTCATGGATAATTTTACTTGATTTCCTCCTAAAATTAAACGTATGTAGAGTACCACAGCCATAGGTTATTTCGATATTTGATTACTAATTTTCACAATTATTTTGATTATTATAATGAGAACGAAGGCGGCTTATAATGAGAATGTGTTTTCAAACATTCCGGTTGGCACCGATTTTGAACAAAAACACCGTTCTAAAAATTTTGATAAATATAATTCTTGAAGTAACAAGCTTTTTCAAATTGAAATCACTTGATTTGCTATTATTTTTAATGAAAAAAATATTTCTACGCGATTCTTGTAGTAAAACAATTGAAACAATTGCTGCAGAAATCAAATCCGAAATATCCGGGATGCTTCCGAGAAATCCGGATTTTCCAGCAAACACTGGGGAGCGCGCTCACCGAATATCCAGAAACTATTTTTCATTGAGCCTGTTATTATTATTATCATTAGTGTGATAATGACAGATTAAAATTGTCGCTTGCTGATAATAATGGTAAATGTGAATAGCGAAAGTTTCTCTCCTAAAAATTATTTAGAGTAGAAAATAATGGGTGGAGTTGAATTTAGGCAAATGGGCGTTTCGTCAACCAAATATTTCTGCCAAGTTGTGGAAAAATTTTTCGTTCAAAATCATGTATCCCATTGTCTCTGAGTGGTCAATCCCAGTTTACCAAATACTTATTTGACTTTTGTTCAGTTAGAGTTGTATTAAAAAATATATTTGCAATATTCAACAAATTAGCCAATAGCCAATTATTTGCTGATAAAATTCTTATTTTTGGTTAATTCGTTAATTCGTTTTTAATAAATAATCAAGAACTTGCGAATTTTAAGCTCATTTATTAGAATTTCCGATAAACTTAGATAAACATTCTTTCAAATTGATTCTAATCAATTTAATTTAAGTTAGATTAACTGAGTGGAATTGAATTTTCTCAAACGAAAACACACTGCAACAGATTTTGGGTGAGCGTTGGATACTTTTCGATATTTTAAATTTAATTGTTCATTCATTCATTGATATGATTTTTCTGTTTTCTTCTCCTATAAAGTCGAAAATCACGAATATTGTTGATGCAAACAAATAATGAATACAATACGAACTTCAAAGTGAAGAAGCGTTGACGAAATGCAGCGAAACCGGTCACACTGCCTTGCGTTTGCCCATTAAAACAATAACATCCGCTTCCTTTTATTAGCACGTTTCTTAAAACACAATTCGTCTTCGCCTTGCTATGGCTCATTGCAGTTTTGTTAATTGTTATGCAATAAAACGTTTGAAGATACATTGATTTTTGGAATCAAAGGAGAAAAACAGCTGCTGATCGCTACCATTTTTATTTGTATGAACAGCGTCCTTGTTTGCCAAACCAATCGTTCATTCCAGGCGTATAAACTGCAACGTTGAAAAGGCAGAAAAGCTCAACAGCAAAACATATCGTTTGGACTCAGTTGCTCTACTAAATCTGCAAAAATTCTTCCTGAACCACAAGTACCAAGGGTTGGACTTGCACTGTCCGACCTGCAAACGCAGAACAACAGGTAAATTGCTATCTTCTTAAATTTGAAGTTTTTGAATTTCGTACATTTGCGCGCAGTCCATCTAACGTATATAAAATTGTTTGGTAATTTTAATCTTCCATTTTTTCCCGAGATTTTATCAGGAACAAATAAAGGCAAAACCATTATTTATTTCAAAAAAATTATTTAAAAAAAAGAAAAGACAAGCAAGCAAGTTATTATTTTTGCAGTTCTTTCTTCCACTTATTTTAGTTTCGTCACGTTAGGCATAAAAAAGATTCACCAAAAAATAAATGATGTTATCCAGGCCATTAATTTTTCACTGAATAGCTCACGAAAAAAATCTATCGAAACAAATTAATAGACAAATCGCTAATTTTCTATACCTTTACTTGATATTATATTACATCATTAGATCACTCAATCACAATTGTCCACAATTGCCAATTTCTTTGCTTGAGATAAGCAGATCATAATTCTCATTTTTACCTGAAAAAACTATGATACAATAAATATACCACGTGAAACGATGAAATGTCGCTCAACTTTTTTTTATAATATTGTAATATTTCAGCGTAAATACTTCCACATTAAATACCATAAAATATCGAAAAATAGTACATGCGATTTCAAAAAAACTTTCTGACGAGGTTTTTTTTCTCGTTTGAGGTCGTTCTCGGTGTTTCTCTTTTGAGTTGTCTGCATGTCCTAGTTGATATATAAATAAGATAATGCGAATATCGAGTGAGAAATGTATTCCTTTTAGTTTATTCAGTACGTGTCTGCTACAGTCTCGTGCAATCAATGGAAAATGTCGATTTAGATTACTAATTAACATATCTTTATCGGCAATTTTTTTAACTTTTTTAACGAACAGAAGATAATCTATGAAACGTAGCGAAACCTACTGTCACTGATAATAACTGCCAGTAAACAAATTTTTGTTCGGGCATAACTAATTAAATTAATATAATAATAAAAAACACTGGTATTACATTCATACTGTAATAGAAAACAAATGAGATAATTTTGATAATTTTTGTTTTATAAATTTCTAGCGCAAACGGTTACGGAAACGGTCTAAGTGGAAACAACACTTGGTCGACTCGAGGTGTTGGTGGTGTAAGTGGAAGCGATTCGTATCACCAACAGGGAAGTAGTCTGTTTGCTTCCAACAGTAGACATCAAGTTAGAATTTGATACATGAAAATCTTCGTAATTTACCTAATTGCCTAATAATTATAATGGTAAATTTTCATGCAAATGGCTGAACAATTTCAGGACCGATTCGATTCATTTTCATCTGGTGCTTTCCTTGGTTCATCTGGCTGTTCATCAGGATATAGTGGACTGTTTGCTCAAAAATGATTCGAAGGTTTGCTGAATCTTTATTTCCAATAAAATTATTGATATTGATACAACAGATTAAGCTGATTTAAAATGTGAAAAATTAAAAAAATACTCATCAGATGAAAAATTACCTCATAATAGGCGCTGCTAATATCAACTTATAACTAGGGATCAATGAAATCAGGAGTTTTTTAAGGATCCATATCGTTATGACTGTTCTGATGGTCATTTCTGCGAATAAAAATCGAAATATGCTGCCATGTGAACATATCCCTAAATTATTTTGTTGCACTGAATTCATACTGGAAATTTGCATCGGAAAATGTATAGATATAGCGGCTAAGAAATGTCACAAAAAATTGTCACTGCATAAATTCTATTCCAGATTTTCAAAAAAAAGTAACGACGTAAGTTCCGTTTCTTATTCGATAAGAAAATATTGTTTCATTTAATATAAAATAAAGTAAATAGAAAAATATAAAAAGGAAGTTTAATGACGGATTGTTAGAATTGGTTTTAAAAATGAACTTTTTGCAGGAAATGGCATTCTATAAAAAAATTCGTTCCAGTGCTCATAAGCATTCCAGTTATTTTCATTCCGTGAATTCCTCACAATATCCTCTCAATTTCCCAAATCCTTTAGCCAATTTATTACCAAAAGGTTAGTTCGATTCGCTAAAACTAAATAATTACGATACGCAGTTGAAATTAGCGCAGCTTATTCCACTCCATTACTTACTATGTAAAAGTAGTTTTTGTCCAGCGAAAAGATAAAAAATTATTTACCAGCTAACGCTGAAATAAAACCACTGATTTTAATTTTTATAGCGCCATTCGAAAAATATTCCATTGGAGCCTCAATCGCTCGTCCACCTAATAAAGTAATCTCAGGCCATCTTTCCTCTGACTGCGGCTCTGCATCCAATTCAGAATCCAGTCCTCCATATTCTCCGTGCCCACCAAAAAACATTGTTGACGACTTTTTCCTTCACTGTTGCAAACAACAACAACTTGTAAGAATTTGTAACTTTACTTTTTTATAAAAAAGTCCATTTTATAAAAATTAAGTATTGGAATTAATATATGAGAAAAAAAACAAGACAAGAAGGTCGCTTTGATGATGACGTTTTCATTCGCATAAATTTGTTTCTTTATCAGGTCGAAGCCAACTGCCATGGTTTATGTTCTTATGAGCATCGAGAACAACAAATTAGCGAACTCCTGACGCACGCTCTTCGAAAGCGATTATGCTCGCTCAAGGACCTTCCAAAAATTTTACATTGCGCATATCGCGACAATAGAAAATGTTGTCAAAATTTTGGAATTGGCAAAATGAATGAATGACAATGAACGAACAATGAAGTGCTTCTTTTCGAATTTTTTTGACAATGCAATAGTTGAATTTTAGTGCTCAAAAAAATACGGCTAATTTCACTGCTCCTTTCTTAATTCCTTTATGAACGACTGGGCAATTTAATGATTTAAAATCGACCAACCGAATTTAATACCAGCCATAATAGAATCCCATAAAAATTAATGAGGGAAATTTGAACAAAATTTTCTCTGTTACAGTGGACAATGTTAATGAAAGAAAGGGGAGAAAATTGCAAAAAATGAAGCTAAGCTGGTAAATTCTTTGGTCACAAGTTTTTGATTTAAAAATTAGCCTTAGAAGTAGAAACAATTTTTCATCCTTCTTTTTCACTAATCTTTCTAATAATAGAGTTCAATGTTCCAATAAAATATACCCGAATTACGAAAAGAAGCGATTTAAGTTAGTTTGACAATCAATATGAAGTATTTCTAAGATATGGGATAAAAAAATTTGGGTAGAAACAAGGTCGTTCATTTTGAAACCGTTTTAAATTAAGTATATTCATCGATGACCCTTTAAACTGGGCTAAAACAATTCGTCTTCTCCGTTATCAATTTGCTTTTTCGAGACATATAAAGCTGTTAAAATGACTTTCGACTAACCCAAAGCTCTGACTGTGAAATTTTAACTTCAGAATAGATTAAGGTAATAAAAATTTAAACGATTAAAATCTCGACCCAGATGTAAGACGTCTTTACAACACATCACATCAATCTCACTAAATGAATCGTTTCTAAAAATTTAAAATTTATTCAATTAATTCTCGAACAATTCATTTTAAAATATTTCAGATGCCTTGGAATGTGTAATATTGAACATTTGGTTGATAGTGATGATAAAATCATGAATATTAAGAAAAATTATTTGGTGTGTTTCAGCAACTGGAATATTTTAATACATTGTGCACATGCTGGAATACGATATATGACTGATTTGGTTTGAGAGGTCAAATCCACTTTTGTACCACTTATGCAGTCAGTTAGAAAAAGAAAAGATACAATTAATTTTTGTTAAATCGAAACCCTTAAGTGATCATGAATCGTAATCGTGTTTATTCCATCATTTCCAGCCAAATATATTTTTGTATCATATTCTTGCTGTTTTCTTTAGACCGTATAAGGCGACACAATATAAAGCAATTTTCCGTATCACTGACCTATTTATTGGAATTTGGGAATTTCGATTCTTTTTTTTCTTGTTTTGTTAATTGTTCTGCTTTCGGGAAACAATTTTTTATCTTCCCTTAATGAGAAAAAATTCGGGTTTCTTAATAAATTTCGCCTTTTAAATTGGTCATATTAATCAATTTTTACTTAATAAACTATTTCACTAATAAACCTTTTCGCTTTGAAAATTAATGGTTTGTATATTTCAAGCTCAGTTATTTGAATTCATATATGTAATAAGTGATAAGTTAAAATGATATCTGCAAAATTCATTGATATCCTTTTGAAACCAAAACCAATAAAAAAGGCCTGAAAAAATGAACTGTTAAATTTCAACCATTTATTTATCGTTTCGCAACTAAATAAATAAACCAAAGAAAATTACTCGACAATGTTTGAGAAATTATTTTGTTATTTCTATGTCTTTTTTTATAAGACGGCTCGAATTTATTTTTGCGGTCTTATTTCAACATTTGTACAAAAAAAATTTTATTCAAAAATAATCTAACCATCATTCTTTTTTCAATTTTTTTTTTCCATATTTGTACATAAATTTATAACAATTTTATTCATCTATTGTGACCATCATTACAATATTAACAGCGATTAATTATTTATGCAAACTTAATAAAATATATGCAGCATTGTTGTTTTGTTCATATTAAGTACAAAAAAAAATGAGGACAAATCAAATACAATTAAGCTTTAAAAAAAAATAAATGAAGCCCGAATAATTTGCTGATCATAAGCCAAAAAATAAATCTATCAAGGCCTCATTTATAAACGTGGAAATGGTACTACCGTAAAAGGACAAAGAGGAAAAGGAGATCGAAGAAAATTAAGACCAAAAGTAGATCAAAATAGAAAGAAAATATACATAAAACTCTCTTAAGAACAAACATGTCTCCTTCAAACTGTTTTTTTGTAGATCGGATAATATATATATATATATATATGGGTATAGGATGGTTTAGTGGATTATTGCTCAATTTGGAGCGCCGACACTAAGGTTTTATTCCCGGGTAGTCCAGGAGTAAACCTGTCCAAGAATCTGGGTGATGCTGGCGACTCACCTGTATTTCTATTGCCAAGGGACTCCCTGGCATATTTATCCAGTGCGACAAGCCAGAAAAATGAGTTTAATCATTAATGGTGAAAACTCTTAAAAAAAATATGCACATATCATTAAATATCATTGCTTGTATCATTATATATATCATTACTTGCTTATTTATAAACCATCCATAAATAATACCATCCATAATTATCGCAGATATGCTAGAAATTTAAAAAAATAATTATAATCCACTTTATAAGGAATGAATCATGATTTAAATCATAAATAGCGTACAAATTAAAAATTTTAATATCAAGTTAAAAGCATAATCCATCATTTCAACAAGTGGCAAATCTTTAAGATTTGTTGGAGTCAGTCAACAACGGTGGAACGATGATCTATCTAGCAAATCTACATTTGATATGAGTACCATTTCGTACAATAAGTATTAGTACAGTAAATATTGATAACGGCCGATAATTAAAGCAAAATTTCATAAGAAATTTATAAATGAATATAAGATTACTTTAACGATAGGCTCGAAATTCTATCAAAAAATCTTTTTAAATGCATATAAATGATACCTATTAAAACTATTAAACTCCAATTGCCACCTCTTTGCTTATGATTATAAAATCCTTTACACATGGTAGACTGGATTATTTATTCCCGTTATATAAGATGGTCTTAACAGATAATGCCTTCTGCACAAAAATGCATGTATTGCATATAAATTCAAGAAAGTGCGGTCTTCAACCACTTTTAAATATTAATAACATTCATGACATTGCTCTTGCATACAATGTTTCAGTATTTTCATATAATAAGTTCCTCATTCCGACTGAAAGGCAGTGGTAAAGAAGTCTACCGAGGCAGCGAATGGAATAAATATTTTCATTGACATGAAATGTTTGATGTCCTCTTCATATATATATATATATGTTGCTGCGAACTTAAGCGCATTCCACCCGGGTAGTTCTTTAAATAAATAAACAACATTTTTGACTTCGCCTTATAATGATTATTATATTATTATTATTCTGCACTGAAAACCTCCGAACTGTCTGAAGTTATGGTACCAAATATTGCTAGTCAGTAACTAATAAATTAATAAATAAATTATTTAAACAAAACGAAAACAAAAAAGCAAAAAATTTAGATCGCCCTCCGCGAGTAACATATAAACAAACGACTTAAAACCTATTTCGAATAATTTCGAAAATGGAGCTGAAAAATAGTGAAGGCGACATTTATCGTACTCGACTCCGAGTGCTATGATGCAGCTAAGCTATACTCATTTGTCGGTCTCAGATAGTTAATTGTAGGTTTTCTTTAAATTTTTTATATCAAATTTTTTGAACTTCAACTGATAAATTGAATAGAGCGAGGTTTTTGCTTTTTTAATATATATTTATGGTTGTAAGTGCCGGAGCGATGAGTGTCGAAATTGTTCTGAAGATTCGCAGATGTGCGGTTGTGCTTTTGTTCAAGGAAATAACTGAAAAATTTTTACCGCAAGTGAAAACGAAAAGAAAATTTCCTTTTATCGGTTTATTAATTAATAATTAATAATTGGCAAATTAATTAATTAATTAGTTGCCCGCCGAATGTCGCAGTTCGGATTCGATTTTTTCGCAACTTCGCACGACGAAATATTGCGAAGGGAAAACGTTTTTGGTTGACCTCGTGGAGGCTCTCAGCGTTCCTCTTTCATTGTGGTTTGTCGTTTTCAGAGATATGCATCTGTACAACCTAACTCTGCAAGGCTCTTCGTCGATTAACCAGGCAGTTCATGGCTCATTTTCGGGCTTACCGAAGCAGCAGGTTTATCGCTTTTAATTTTATTCAAAAAGAAATCACTGTGAATGAATTATGCGTAAATGACTCTCTGAGACGACTCCCGTACTCCTCGTTTTCTTATAGATGAATCTGAGACGACTTGCAGATATATAATTTTAGACGAATAGTCTTATAGGTATGTAGTTTGAGTAGACGGCAGGAGATTATAACTTTAGTGTTAAGGAAAGGAATAGTGTTTCGGATACAGTGATAAATTATTGGTGACGCGCTGGATAGAATATGTGGGAGATTGTGCGTAAATTTTTATATGAGTACGAGAATCGAAGAGCTAAAAAAATTAGATCAGAGGGAAGAAAGAAAGATATAAACTTCATAAACTCTCACGATATCCGGCGTGACGAAAGGGTATCATAAGAAAAAATAATTTTCTTTCACCACAAAATGTTTTAATTTGATTTCGTGCATTTTATTTCTTTTTTACATTTTCCAAGTTTAGGAGGTTTGTATCGCGAGAGGTAATCTGTTGCAATTGCTTTTTTGCGATCCTAAAACTGGAAAAATTCATGTTCTGTGCAGTCAGAATGTTTTCGGCATTATTCGATCACTTTTAGCTTTTCGTTTAACTGGTGGCTCGAAAGGTTTTTATTTTTCATTGGAAGTTTATGTTGTCAGTTATTTCATATTTTAGTTCATCGTTTCCATTCTTTTTTTTGTTTTTCCTGGAATATTTTAATTGAATTTGGGGAGAAAATTTCTCCAGTATTATAAGCTTACAAGTTTATTTGATGAGAATAAGATGTTATCTTTTTTAGGTTTTATTGAGCTAAATTAAGTTAATTATAAGGGAATAAAACTCGCAATTTTATTGGTTGCAGTTGATTTTTTTTTGAAATGGTGGTGATATTTTATCTTATTTTATTTAATTTATTTCTAGATTATATCGTAGTCGGATCAGACGCTGGTCGCATTGTGATACTGGAATATAATTCACAAAAAGTTTCTTTTGAGCGTGTCCATCAAGAAACTTTCGGCAAAACAGGTTGTCGTCGAATCGTTCCGGGACAGTACCTTGCAGTGGATCCTAAAGGACGTGCTATTCTTATCGGTGCATAATTTTATATTCATTATTTTATTGACTGTGTTCATAATATGTATGACATTATTTGAGATTTTCTAAATTTATGAATATCGAAATAAGTGGAATTATTTATATTATTTTCCTTAAATATTTTTTAACTTTTTCTTTTTTTTCCATGCTTTCTTTTAGGTGCTGTGGAACGTCAAAAATTAGTATATATAATGAATCGAGATGCTGCTGCCAATTTAACCATCAGTTCGCCACTTGAAGCTCATAAAACTCATTGTCTTTGCTACAGTGTGGTGGGAGTTGATGTGGGTTTCGAAAATCCCACTTTTGCTTGCCTTGAAGTGGATTATGAAGAAGCGGATCACGATTCATCTGGGCATTTGGCGTCTAAGTTTCCTCAGACACTAACATTTTATGAACTGGACTTGGGTTTGAACCATGTTGTTCGAAAATACGCTGAACCTCTTGTGGATAAAGGAAATATTCTAATTTCTGGTTGGTTTTTTGCGCATTTTTCATATATTTTCATAATATATTCTGTTATTACATGTTAGTATCATTGTTTTTTTCAGTGCCTGGTGGGCAAGACGGTCCTAGTGGTGTAATTGTTTGCTGTGAAAATTATCTGGTATACAAGAATCTCGGTGATCAACCGGATATAAAGTGTCCAATACCTAGAAGAAGAGTTATTACTATTTGACGAAATGCTTGAATATTTGAAATATTTGTTATTTTGACAATCAACTTCTATGAAGTTTTTCTCTAAAGTTTATTCATCATTTCAGAATGAACTTGATGACTGTGATCGAAACGTTTTAATTGTTTGCACAGCTACGCATAAGACGAAACTTATGTACTTCTTCTTAGTGCAGACTGATCAAGGCGATGTTTTCAAAGTTACCTTGGAAAGTGAACATGATATTGTAAGTCAAATTTTTTATTCTGTAGTCTTATTGCTTAAAAAAAAGAACGTTTTAAAAAATTTAATCCGCTGAAATTTCGTTGATAAAACAATTATTTTGTTATAAATAAACAATTAGTAAAAAATCGTTTTTATCGTTCTTTTATTAAAAATAGGATAGTTGAACCAAACATTTATAAGGTTTTAGAATAAAATTTTTTTGCCTATTATAATTTGTAAAATAAAACACAAATTTATTAATATACATTATATCGGATTTGTTTGTAGGTCATGGAACTGAAGATTAAATATTTTGATACAATCCCTGTTGCAAACGCCATGTGTATATTAAAAACGGGATTTCTTTTCACAGCAAGTGAAGCTGGAAATCAGTTAGACAAAAATTCGATATTAGACTGATTCTTTTTTAAAATATTAAAAATTATTATGATTAACATATTTTGTTTCAAAAGTTTAGTTTAGTTTATAATTGCTGCGATTATCATAAATTCAGTATGTTCAAAAAAACTAATTTTTGAAATTTTGAATTAAATGAAATTTTCAGTCAATTATATCAAATCGCTCATCTTGGAGATGAAGATGATGAACCAGAATTTTCTTCACGTATGCAACTTGAAGAAGGCGAAACGTTTTTCTTTGCACCCAGGGGGTTGCTTAACCTTGTCAATGTTGACCAAATTGATAGTCTTTGCCCTCTAATAACGGCTCATGTTAGTTTCTTCATTTTTTATTCGAATGAATAACCAAAATTTCGAACAAGATTTTTTTTAGGTTTTAATCGATAAAAAATATTTGATTTTACTGATATTTAATCGATAAAAAATATTTGATTTTATCTTAATGATATATATCCTTTTGTTACATATTAAATAAAAATTCGTCTATATTGATTGGAAAGAATCGAAGTAGATCTTCTTCTTCTTCTAACATCGGTGTTAGGTTGTCCTCTTATAACTTCGCCGGCTGCAAGGATCAGATCTCCAAGCTGTGCGGTCCGATGTCATTACTTCTTCTTCTTCTAACAGCTCACACCATTACTGATTAGGCTGGCTCCAGCGGCTACAGGGGTAATATGCTTCCAAGCGGCGCGGTCTGATGCCATCGTCGTCTATAATAGAACTCATTCCTCTTTCCATCGTCTTAAGTCCATATATTTCTGGCCCTATACGTTCAAAGTCTTTTTTGACCGTATCAGTCCAGATCTTGGCCCACCTCGCTTTTGACGCCATCGATCACACGGTTTAACGATATATGCGATAACTTTTGTGGTGGACGACGGAGAATGTGTCCTAACTATCGAAGGTGACGCTCTGTAATAGCATTATTAATGCAAGTGGAATTTGAGCGAAGATGGATGCTATTATCTGGTATTTTATCCGCTCGACGGATCTGTAAAATGTACCTTAGACAAGAGTAGTCGAAGGTAGATAGCTTCCTAACATCCTCCACTTTCATTGGCCATGTCTCAGAGCCATATAGTAAGATCGAACGAATCACGACTATATAGATATGGACTTTCATTTTAATGGTAATTTCACGACGGCTCCATAAAAGTTTCCTCAGCCGAAAGAATGCATGTGTAGCTGCCGTGGTAGTAGCTGTCTAGGCTATAATATCATCTTTTGCCTGTCCATTTTTATTAGAGTGGACTGGACCCAAGATTTAAAATCGGACATTTCCTCAACTGGTAATGAGTTTATAAAAAGAATCATTTTATCAATTTTTTTCATATAGGACGAAAAGACTTTCTTTTTACATTGATTCTGAGTCCGATTCTTGCTGCAGTTTCTGATATGTTATTTAGCATTACTTGCATTTCGTCATAACTGTCAGCAAAAAGGACCACATCATAAGCGTATTCAAGATCTGTGATACGATGCTCTGGACTGATTGGGACACTCTTTGAGTGCCGACAAACGGTGTCCATTACTCAGTCTATCGCATAGTTGAATATTATAGGGAAAAGGATACAACTTTGATGGACATTATTTCGAAGCAATTCCTCATATACACAGACCTGCGCCGACTTATGCTTATAAAATGCCTTTATGAGTCGAATGATCTTCTCTGAAACACCGTCGCATTCCATCATCTTCCAAAGTACCTCACTATCAAATGAATCTGCAAAGTCGATGAAACACGTGACAGTGAGTTGCAAATATCTGAAGGGATGTTCCATTACTCTTCTTAACGTGAATACAACACCGTGCCCAGATCTGAATCCAGTTTAATTAGAGCGCATCCTACTGTCTCGTACTTCCATAAGTCTGTTAAGTAAAAGGGAAGCAAAAATTTTCACTGAGGCTGATTCCTCGATAATTGTCGCAGCAGTCATCTTTCTATCATCATAAGTCCTATCATCTTTCTTTAAAATTGGGAGCAGACTTGCTTCGCTCCAATCATCTGGTAAGGTTTCTTTTTTCCATACCAGAGAGTACATTTGTGGAAAGTTATGAAGGATGATGGGCAATATTTAGGACGATGGAGAAAGAATTCAGCCTGAAGATCATGTTCTCTCGGAGTCTTATTGGCCTTAAGCTTATGGATAATAGCCATCATTTCTTCTTCTCTCGAGGACTCGCAATTGAAAGCATATGGTTCAGCGAACGTATCAGCTATATCAGTGGTAAAAGATGACGCTTCACGGTTAAGTTTGGCCTCAAAGAATTCTTTCCATCTTATGAGGCGGTCTTTAATACTCTTAATTAGCAAGCCACTGCTGTCCCTTACCATTTTACTGATCGTTTCTCGAGTCATAGTTGCTTTATGAAGGAAGCGGTACAGTTTCCTATTATCGCCTAATCGAGCCACTGTTTCCATTTTTGAGGCTATGTCACTCCAATAGTGATTACTGTCCAGCCATGATGCTTTGGTTGCAAATCTTCGAAGCAACCAGTAGTCAGGATCACCTGACATTCGTGCTTTGGCAGCTTTTCCAGACAGTTGGTTAATTAGTTTGGACAGTTGCTTCCGATACCCAACTAGCACACTTCCTGCTAGTACACCCTAGAGTGGAAGGGGCCGACTTTCGGAGGTGTTCCTTTAGTTTGGACCAGTATTCATTTGCCGTTGCAGAAAAGTCATCGATATTTGTATCACTGAGATGCTTCAATAATTCGGTTTGAAATGCGCTCACTATCCCCGAATATTTTAGTTTTTGAAATAGTTTAAGGATCTTGGGGATGCTGTTTCCTGCGAGTTGTCAATTTTATGTGGAGCTTGGCTGAACCATTGCATGATCAGATCCATGAAGATTGCTCTTTTCAACACTACGGTAGGAACGACTATCTACTACAGAACTCTTCAAACGGCAACTGACTAGGATATGATCAATCTGGTTCAATCTGGTTGATGTATATTTCCGACGCCATCACTAATAATAGTGGAAGCCTTTTTCCATTATCTAAGTCCAAATATCTCTGGTTCTCCTATACGTTCAAAATCTTTCGCGATTGTATCAGCCCAGGTCTTAATTTGCTGTCCTTGCTTTTGACGCCAACCATCACATGGTTCGGCAAGTAGCGAAATATCGACTCCCGTAGTGGATGATGAAGAATTCATCTAATATGGAAAAATTGTAAACTATAAATTACAAATTCAGGGAAAAAATTTGGTCGGTGATTATAATCTATTAACAAAAAGGATAAGCTTGCTAGCAATTATGCATGATTATTGTTAAAAAAGTGGACTAAGGTATGCTGATTAAATGACTTTACGAGCCAAATGACCTTCTCTGGGATACCGTCGTATTCCATCACTTTCTAGAATGTTACTCCATCAGTCGAACTGAAGGCAGCTTCAAAATCGATAAAGCAAGTAACGATGGATTGCTGATATTTAAAGCGATTCCAGCATTCTTCTTAGCGTAAATATCTGATCAGTATAACCGCTCTGAATCCAGCTCGATTAGGACGCATTCTGCTATTTCGTGTTACCATGAATTCTATTTCGCTATTTAGCAAGAGGGATTCGAAAACTTTTACGAAGATGTCTAGTAGGCTGATTCCTCTATAGTCACAGTATTTCTTGTCATATTTCTTAGGAATTGGAAGCAGTATTACTTTGCTCCAGTCTTCTGGTACTATTTCTTTCTTTCATACCAGAAAGTATATTTATTGAAGATGAAGGTGAGTTATGAACGTAGATGGACAACATTTGAAAAGTTTGACCTGAAGACCATCTTCTCCGGGAGTTTTCTTAACCTTATGCTTATGGATTATAGAAATTCTTTCCTCTTCTATTGGTAGTTCGCAGTTGCAAATTATGGCTCGAAGAGCGATTAAGTTATATCTGGGACAACAGATGGCACATCGTGGTTAAGTTCGGCATAAAAAATTCTTTCTCTCTTATGAGGTGATCTTTAATAGCCTGAACAGGCGCCCCATTAATATCCCGTATCATTTTACTTCTTCATCCTTTCTCGATTTATAATTGCTTTGTGGAGAAGGCGAAATTGTTTCCTATTATCACCTAATTGACCCGCCGTCTCCATTTTCAAGGCCATGTTATTCCGAACAATATGCCTTAGTGATATATACATTTTTGTTACATAGGAAATCTTAAACATTAAATAATAATTCTTCTAAATAATATTGACTGGAAACAATCAAAGGAGATAAAAAAATTTGAAATGTGAAATTGTGAAATTTTATTAATTTTATTATATTAAACTGAATTCTTCAATTTAGATTGAAGATTTGGCCGGAGAGGATTCACCTCAGATTTATGCGCTAATTGGGCGTAGCTCTCGGTCTGCTGTAAAAGTGTTACGTAACGGTCTTGAAGTTACCGAAATGGCTGTTTCCGAACTTCCTGGTAATCCGAACGCAGTCTGGACTGTTAAAAGGAATATTGATGGTTAATTTCGTTCTATCGCTTAAATAATTTTTAAAGAATAAGAAGTTTTATTGTACATACTTTAAAATTAAAAATACTTTTTTTTCAAATTCGACCACGAATATGTTCAATTATGTACTTTTTTTCTAAAAGTTTTGCTCATATTAAGATAAGTACGATTCGCATATAGTAGTATCATTTGTTAACGCTACTCTGGTGTTGTCAATTGGTGAAACAGTTGAAGAAGTCACTGACTCTGGTTTCCTTGGTACCACACCAACTCTTGGTTGTGGTCTCATTGGTGATGATGCACTTCTTCAAGTAAAAATTTTCATATGCTATAATTTTCAATAGTTTTTTAATTTATTTAATATTAAATATTAAATATACTTAGGTTTATCCTGATGGTATTCGTCATATTCGAGCTGACCGACGAGTTAATGAATGGAAAGCTCCAGGTAAACGGACAATTATGAAATGCGCTCTGAACAGACGCCAAGTGGCAATAGCATTGGCTGGTGGCGAAATAGTTTATTTCGAATTGGATGTGGTAAATTTTTTTAGTTTTTCGTGTGCATTTTGAGTTTTGCGACATTTTTGTTATATGTTCACTTCATTTTATTTGTGATTTTTCTAAAATTTTACCGATATCATATTAATATATCATTTCTAGACTGGGCAACTAAATGAATACACTGAGCGAAGAGAATTGCCTGCAGATGTGCTATGTATGAGCCTCAGTGAAATTCCTGAAGGTGAGCTCAGATCGCGTTTTTTGACTGTTGGCCTTGCCGATAAAACTGTTCGTATTATTTCCTTGGATCCTCAGGATTGTTTATCGCCTTTGAGGTATTAATTTTTGTTTTTCTTGGCAGTTATTGTTTAATTTAATATCAGTGATTATCACTGCATAAATTAAATTTGATTATAACTTGTAATAAAAAAGCTTTCAGTATGCAAGCATTGCCGTATGAACCTGAGTCTATTATCGTATTAGAAGTTTTTGGTGCTGAAGGGCAAAGTTCCTCAACCGTCCATTTGAACATCGGCTTAGGAGTTTTGTTTTAAAATTTTCTGTCAATTTTTGTTTTATGGACAATTTTCCAACACAGCATAATATTAAAACAAATTCTAGAATGGTTGTTTGCTGAGAACCACTGTTGACCAAGTAACAGGCGAGTTAACCGATAATCGCACACGATATTTGGGAACCAGAAGTGTCAAACTGTTTAAAGTTAAAATCCAAAATAAAGATGCGGTTAGTTTGTTCAGTTTTCCATAATATATTGTTAAAACAGATTCTTCTAATGACTCTCACCATTTCTGTATCCCTCCATGCTGCTATCGTCAAACGTCCGGTAGCCAGCTCCTCTTAACATTCGAGCTTTGGTAGCCTTTTCGGACAGTTAAGTTAATTGGGTATCGGAAGCAGCTCGTATATTTTAGCGTGGAAGTGACTTTCGAAGACATGCCTTTACTTTTCAGTTTTGGAATCAGTATTTGTTTTCCATTCAAGAGATGTTATCATTGAGTTGTTTCAATAATTCGGTTTGAAATGCTCTTACTGTCCTCAAATTTTTTAGTATAGATAAATAAAAACATCTTAAGCGACATTTTAAGAGACCTAATAAGAGACATCTTAAGAAACATTTTTTGCGAGTTATTTTGCGAGTTAAAAGAGTTTTATGCGGATCTTAGTTCGGACCATATGGTTTGATCCATGAAGATTACCAGTTTTAACACCGCTATAGAAAGAACCATAATTCATAATTCTTCCAACGACAATTTTAAGAGTTTTCACCATTACTTGTTATAAACTCGCAGTTTGTCGGACTAGACAAGTGCCAGGGAGTCCCTTGGCGTTAAAAATACAGGTGAGTCGCCAGCATCACCCCGGATTTTTGGACAAATTTATTTCTGCGGGGAATAGAACCTTAGTATCGGCGCTTCGAATTGAGCAACAACGCATTAAGTTATCCTATTCTCTAACTTCCAGTGGCAATGGACTGGAATGTAATCAGTCTGGTTGACTATTGGTTATCTAGAGAGTTCCGCGTGAATGTCTTATTCAGTATTAGAAACATATATTATTAACAAAAAAGTTCATACTCTTCGGCAGAGCAAGGAAGGCATTCTACTGGTGCACCGCCGATGCAATATCTACCAATTGCCGGGTCCGCCCTCACGTGCATCCTATTAGATTGTAAGTAGCTGGAGTTCCACATAGAGTTATCTTTGCCACGGTTATTTGCGCATAAAGAGCACATACAATGATACCGAAATATTGCAGAACTACATAGGCTCTATTGTCTTTTACCAGTGGATCACTATCTGCTCAATGAGAGCGAAGCGACTTTTTTCAGATGTCGCAATTGCTATGCCATTTCGCCCTTGAGTTATACGAAACCCCTCAATGATATAGCCAGTATCATCTCGGAGTCAGGTTTAATAATTGTTCATGACCCGAAATAAGGAAGATGGACCTCTGAAAAGTCGACATTCATATAATATTTAGAGAATGTGGATAGTGATTCTTGATTTGCAATCCTCGTCTATAAACGTTCTAATATTGCACGTCGCTATGCCAGTACCTTGCCATGCTTGGTAAGAGTCGACAATTGCTCGTTTTCTCTAGACAGCGTTTTCGAACAGTTATCATGGTTCGAAAGCACATTATTCTCAAACCTTGAATTCCTTTTATTAACTAGGATTATATAATTATTTAATAATTAATTATATAATTAATTATAAACTAGGATTATAAATTATTGCATGTACATCAGGCTGCGGATACCACATACCATCAAGACCGGCCTCTTTTACCATAGAGATTTGGGGATAGAGTTACAAGTGAATAACCGAGTAGCCCAGATTTTTAAAATCGTGGCAGATTTACTCCTGAAGATATAGAAGATAAAATTAAGAGGTATAAAAATAAAGTAGACAATAAAAAGAACAAACATACAATAACATAAAAAACAACATAAAAAAACATAAAAACAAAACTTATTTAAAACTAAATTATTTTATATAAAATTATTATGTAAAATTATTTTTTATTTTTAATTTAATTTATATTTTATTTACCTTCTTTACAAATTTATTTTTAAATTTAAAAAAACTTAGCTGATTATTTATAGATGTTCTAAATTGTTTCAAAGTTACCCCAAAGGATATTAGAGCGTAATAGCAATAATCGTTCAAGAAATAAATTTCTGAAGTCTTTGGAAGATTTATTTATTATTGTCATGTTCATTATTCATAAATTTCAAAAAAATTCAGGCATATATTTAATTTAGATTTTGGCTGCTTCTTCTAGAGCCTGGTTGCTATATGATTATCAAAACAGGTTTCATTTAACTCCACTCTCTTACGCTGCTTTAGAATTTGCTGCTGGTTTTTCATCTGAACAGTGTCCTGAAGGTATCGTCGCCATTGCTGAGAATACACTCAGGTATACTCTTTCTGATATTTGAGGATATTATTTAGCAAATAACAAGAACAATTATTTAATGACGAGAAAATAACGATATTAATATTTTATAGAATTCTCTCACTTGAAAAGTTGGGAGCTATTTTCAACCAAGTTATATATCCATTGGACTATACGCCTCGAAGATTGGTCATTCATAAAACATCTGGGAATTTAATCATCATTGAAACAGAACATGCTGCATTTACTGCAAAGGGCAAGGATGAACGTCGAAGACATCTAGCTAATGTTGGTGTATTATTATGATTTTATCATGATTTTTATTATGATTTTAATATTTGGAATTACGTATTTCTCTGTGGAGAATTATTAAATTAAATTATTAAATTTTACAGGAACTCTTGGAAGTTGCTAAAGATGCTGATGAAGCCGATCAGTTAGCAGTAAAAGAGATGGCGGAAGCCATTGTAAACGAAAAAATCGATGAACGTGAATTTGGTGCTCCAAAGAATCAAAAAGGTTTTTTTGCACCTTATTAAGGTTGTTATTGCTATTTATTTTAGTCTGAAGCCACATTCATTTAGATTTTTAGTTTTAATTTTTAGTTTTATTAGTTTTTGTATTAGTCTTTACACCATAACTTCAGGAAAATGGGCTTCTTCTGTGCGTATTTTGCGGACTGTTGATGGTGAAACACTTTTTTATTATCCTTTCCCTGAAGATGAAGCAGCTTTTTCGTAAGTGATTAAAATTGCTTATATTAAAATTATTGGAGTTCTATCCTTCTTTAAAATTTTATGTGATTTATTGTATTTTGTTTTCATGTTTGTTTACAGCATTGCTATGGTGCAGTTCCAAAATCAGAGTGATGCGCAATTCGTTTTGGTTGGTTGTGGTTGTTCTCTTCAATTAAAACCCCGTATATCTAATGGTGGATGCATTTATACGTTTTTTGTCTCCGGGAACGGTACAAAACTCGACCTTTTGCATCGAACTGCAACTGACGAAGTTTTGTTTTTTAATTTATTGATTTAGCGAGAATGATCAATATAACAGTCTTTTATTATGTTTAATCTTTTGGTAAAATCTTTTATTAAATCTTTTGTTAAAATTAAATCTTCTAATTTCTACATTTATAAAAACCTTGTTAAGGTCGTTAACGCTATTCATGATTTTCGTGGTATGGCGCTTGCTGGAGTTGGAAAGAAAGTGCGGCTTTATGATTTCGGTAAACGGAAACTTCTTGCAAAATGTGAAAATCGAGTAAGTGAGGCTAGACTATAATCTCTTCAACAGATTTCTTCTCTTTATTTTGCAATAAGATATATTTTTTTAGCAATTACCAACACAAGTCGTTGATATTCGTTCAATGGGTCAGCGAATTGTTGTTAGCGATTCTCAGGAATCGATTCATTTCATGAGATATAAGAAATTAGTACGTTTTATTATTATATTCTTTTATTATTATATATTATTATTATATATTATATATTTTTTCCTTATATTTTCCCACTTTTTTCATAATAATTCAAAAATAAATCTAAATCCTTATTCATCAGAATATGTATGAAGTGCTATTATTGAGAAATTGCAGTAAATCTGAAATATTTTTCAATCGACTTTCATTTTTAGGAAAATCAGCTAAGTATCTTTTGTGATGAAACTTCTCCAAGATATGTTATGGCATTATGCTTACTTGACTATGACACTGTTGCTATCGGTGATCGTTTTGGGAATATTGGCATTGTATAGTTTATTATAATTTATTATTTATAACTTTTAAATAATGGTTATAATTCATTTCCAAGTTGTAAATATAGGGGTTTGCAAGATTTTTGGTCTTTCGTTTTTTGAAATAATTATGATAAATTTATGGCACGAAATTTTTTTTTCAAAGGGGATATTTCTTAATTTTATCGCTTTTTTTTTAAATGACGAAATTAAGCAAAAATTTTGATGATTATGGTCCAGAAAATTAATTTGAAAAATTATTTCCAGCTACGTTTACCGAAGGGTGTATCTGAAGAGATTCAGGAAGATCCAACGGGAGTTAGAGCTCTGTGGGATCGTGGCACTTTAAATGGTGCATCTCAAAAAGTGAAATTTATTTTATTTTGTTTGGGTTAATAGTCTTAAAAGATTGTTTGCAAAGGCGATATTTGTAATAAAATTAAGTGAATATTAGTAAAAAATGAATGAAATGAGAGATAATATGAGATTCGCTAAAATTGCAGTTGGAACTTATTGGGCACTTTTATGTTGGCGATATGGTTACATCAATTCAAAAGACATCACTTGTGTTAGGAGGAAACGATTGCCTTGTTTACACTACTATTTCTGGTGTCATTGGCATGCTTGTGCCGTTTATGTCGAGAGATGTAAGTTATTTTATAAATTATTACGATTGAGTTTCCTTTTCTTCCTAAAGTTTATGTACAGATGTGGATAAAGCACAAAATTATTATTGCTTTTTAGGAATTCGATTTCTTTCAAAATCTGGAAATGCATATCAGAGTTGAGGCTCCACCGATTTGTGGTCGTGATCATCTGGCGTTTCGCTCTTTTTATTTTCCTGTTAAAGTATTGTTTTCGTCGTTTTGTTCGATTTTTTGATAGCTTTTATTTTGTTCTGTAATATATTATTATTTGTTTTTTTAAAAAGCAATTATATGTATTTTATTTTATGCATAAAATGAATAGTTTCTCCTCAGGCACATTTTTAATCTAATATACATCTTTGTTTGTAGAACGTAATTGATGGTGATCTTTGTGAACAGTTTGCTTCAATGTCAACCGAAAAACAGAAATCAGTAGCTGAAGAATTGGGCAGAAAGCCTCTGGAAGTATGTTGAGTCAGTGCTGTCGCACAATTTATTTTATCCTAAATTCTGATTAGTCATATTATTATTTTGATTACAATTGATTTGATTTTATTGGCTGATTATTTTCTCTAATTTACCACAATTTTTTCTCAGTTTTATTTTAAATTTTCAGATACATAAGAAACTGGAAGATATTCGAACTCGTTTCGCCTTTTAGCCGACAAATTTTATAATTTTACAAGGATCTGAACAATATATAATAATATATCGTTATTGTTCATTTTTTCATTGATCTCATCAAATTGTAAATTCATTTTCTCCGTGAATTTATCAAGTCCTTGAAGCGCCGAATGTAGAGATGCTCGATTTGAGACAGATCATGGAATAAATTTGTAAAATTTTATAAAATTATCTATTCGTAGACATTTTTGGTCGTATTTTATGCTATATTTCTCTTTTTAAATTTTTTAAATTTCTTATATTTCTTATTTAGATTTTATTTCTGTATTATTCTTACTTATTCTTGATTAGAAAATGGTTCTCAATACTTTTTCCAAAATTAGCGTTTATTTTATTCATTGATAAATCTGAAATTCAAAAGGAAGAGATCTTTAAAGAAAGATTTTTAAAACTTTAAAAATTGAGAAGAAATATTTTTATATAATCTCTGAAAATAATTTAAAATAAGTTAATATAATAGTAATTTCCTTTTTTTATTGCCTTTGCCTTTTGATTTTAGAAAATTTTCCCTCATTTTTGATCTGGTAAAACCAAAAATGGAAAAATGGAAAAAAAATTGTAATGTAGTAGATTATATCGGACAAATAAGTTGGATTAATATAAAAATTAAAAAATTTAAAAATTTTATTCACAGTTTCTAAAAGAGATTTCAATCGATTTTCATTTCTCGTCATCAGTCTTATGCAAAATTTATTGTGGATATGTCCTCTTGTTTCACAGCCAACTTGTTAATCATAGAGAAAACCGTAGAAAACGAATATCCAGTTCCACCGGTTAGATTGAGGGGTTTTATGGAAGCTGGAAGCATAGTTCATCGACCATTATTGGAATTCATTTAAAATGTAAGATCGTTCTGGTTTTCATTTTCCGGTTTTTTTTTGCGCTTGTCCCATTAACCATCTCATTATAACAATAGACCATTGAGATATCAAATCCAAACCATTTATCTCCGAATGGCATTTTTTTCTTAGGTTGTTTGATGTCTCAAAAGATCGCTGAAGCTTTTTTAAATCCATTTTTTTTCATGGGTCAAAAATCGCTTCTGGGTAAGAAATTGCATTTTTGTAAAATTTTTTGGGCAGAATTTGCAAGTTATCGCGATAAATCCATACTATTAAATTATGAAAAGTATCTTTAATCAACAACCATTGTTATAATTTGGATATTTGACCTAATTGGCTTAAATTTTGTGGCTAATCTACATTGGACTTAGAATAAAACTGTAAGGCTGTGGTCAAAATAAAAGATATTTATCCAGTAATGCACAGACAATTTTTTTCAGAAGATATTAAATTATAAAAATAATGGTTACAAAAATTTTCAATTCGAAAAAATGCGGATTCGTCGTCGCAATTTGGATAGCACAGCCTTTTGAGCATCGATAACATCTTTTCGTTGTTGGTTTAAATCGATTCGAGTGGGTGTTTGTGGTGCTTCGTGATCCATTTCAGCAGTTGTTACTGAGTCTTTTGCGATGTCATTCCTGCTAAGATTCTTAGTTGGCAAAAAATTTGGTCCTTGATTGTATGGATCGGCTTTACTGGGAATTGCATATAGTGTATCAGCTTGCGATAAGTGTAAATCTCTGTTGTAAGGATGATCCAGGCCTCTTGGATTATTTGCTGGCTCATTTTGCCATTGGGTTAAGGGTGCTGGTTGCATATTAGGTAGATTATATGGAGCATGGTAAGAAGAACGTGGTGCCGTAGGATAAGAAGGGAATGAAGGATGTTGTTGATCGAAGTGAGGCTGAAGTGCATTTTGGTTGCCAAAACCTCCCAAGAGTGGCAGCATTGTTCTGAAATTTGAATCAAAAATAGGCAACAGTCTTTTTCATCATTGAAGCATTGCCGGAATATTTTTTTAAAATAATGCAGATTTTCTGGTTTATTCACCCATAATTTATTCAGTTTTGGTTCCTTTGGTTTCTATTATTCTATTTGACGAGATAGAGGAAAGCATAGATAAATTACAGAAAGGAATGGTACATGCAATGCCACTCAGTTGTGATGAAATTAAAAAGCCATTAAACACGAAATGTTTTCCCGACTGAATATTTCTAAATATTCCACATGCGGTCAACATTGCTCGTCAAAATATATGGAAAAAGTGTAAAAGAGTTAAACTGAAAGGTAATTCTCGTTGCCATCGTTAAACTATTGATCAATGTACTTTTATAATAAAAAGGAATTAAATGGAAACTCGCTGAAATTTGACTCAGCTAACTATTAAGGCGGATCCTATTAAGGCGGATAAAAGCACTATCCGTTAGTAGAAATTTTTTAGGCAATAAAATATAAAGCGATAAGGGATTAAAGAAAAAGACTGATAAACAACTTAAAAACCAATCATGTTTTCTTTGGAAGAAATTAAGGGCGAAAAATTTGGTTAAATGGTTTTAAATTTCATGATTCTATTAAATCTTTTTCGTCCATTATGCATTATGATTAGCTCTTATCATTTCTGGTCAGACTCCATCGTTAGCTTAGTTGGAAATTTTTCGGCTAAGAGTGGCTCGACCGAAACAGTCACCACCGCCTGTAGATTTTGATAAGCGAAACCCTTGTTTTTTTATATTTGAGCCACTATTCGACTTCGCGTGAAGATATGATTTATATATAGCTAATACATAATTAATAATTAAGATTAAAAAAACAAACTATTAAATAGTTTTACAAAAAATGAAATATTAAAATTTTTAAAACTTGCTGTTGGCTGCATAGTGGTCTTAGTGGGTCACAGCCAGTAGATGCACCACAACATCCTCCTCCGGCACCTCCAAAGCAGCTAGAAGCCAATGGTATCAAAGAACTTATCAGGATGGCCAAAATCTTAAGTTTTTTCAAATTAATAGTTAACTTCATAAAGGTGAAAAGATTTTTTAGTAATAGTAGAATAATTCAATTCTAGAAAAAATCCTTCGTTCAAATTTCGCTCGTTCCACGAATTAACTGTTAAGATGAGAATTTTTTTCCAGAGAATCGCTCGGAAGTAAACAGATGAGTCCATTACTAATAACAATTAATGGATAAAACAATAATCTTAAAAATAGCTGACCATAGCTGAAAAAATGAAGGGACGATTGAAATTTGAAATAAATCAACTCAAAACTGAATAAAATTGAGCAAATTGTGCATTTAAATAAATACTCAAATTTCAGGAAAGGAATTTTCAACCAAACATCCACCACTCCGCCCTTATTGTATTATAATATATCATAAGAAAGTGGTTAAGGCAATCCGATTACTATACGCCCATATAAAATTTCCATAGTTCGTCGATGTTTCATGCAAACATTTTTCATTTAAATTTAAAACGTCACTAAATAAATGGATAATTTAATTTAAATTTAAACTTCACTAAATAAATGGATAATCTTAATAGATAAAAAAAGAAATTCAATGAGCATTAATTAAGCAGTTTTCGTTCAGCTGGCTGTTGCCAGCCAAAAAGACAAAGAGACATAAAATGGTTGGCCAGCATACTTTTTAATAACAGATTTACTCCTATCAGAGGTAAAAGTCAAAATATTTACAATAATCTGACAATTACCTGAGAGGTTTATCAACCATTCGGCTATCGTTTATTCAATGTGCACTTTTTTTCTCTGGTTGAACCATTACTGGTTGAACTATCTCCACTGGATTGCCGAACTGGAAAAATATGCTAGGAAGTCCCTTGGCGATAAAAATACAGGTGAGTCGCCCAATTACCCGGACTTTTCGGCAGGTTTACTCGTGCCGGGAGCAGAATCTTAGTTCCTGCTCTCCGAATTGAGCAACACAACAATTCCTCCAACCATTCCACCTCATCAGATGAGCACTAACCATTGTAGAATTTATGCATTTGATTTTTTTTTTCATTCAAACAGAAACAGTGATTTTTCCTTGTAGAATTTGTTAAGTGCTAAATTTATAGTGGCTGAAAATATTAGGTTTGATTTAAAACATACTAGTATGTAGCTTCAATTGCGCCATTACTGGTTCAGCTCTTCCCTTGAAATTTTGGTAACATTAGGTAACCACGTGCATTTCTACGGTTCTCTAGCGAAAGCATTTCATTCACCGCCTTCTATAATCATTTGAGCTACCAAAAATGGTGAATACAGTTTGAAGAAGAAGAAAAGTTAGAATAAATTATCAACATTTTCTCTTTCGGTAAAATTCGAAAAAAGTTTTTACACGTTTATAATCAGTAAATTTATATTTGAGATAATTTTATGTAAATTTATTAACCTCGAATGATTATAATGATTATGATTATAATTTTTTTCTTGGCAGGACTAAGCTTGTTATTAAAAAAATTCAGGTGAAATTACCCTCATTATCAAATGACTTTCTCGTAAAAATTTTTAACAACGTTTATAGCCAGTAGAATTAGCATAGCCAAAGTAATGAACGCTAACTGCCTAATGTAGTCAAAAAGGCTGAAATTTGTTATTCTTTTGGGAAAGAATTTTGCGCAAAATTTAAAAATAGCCCTTGCATTTCAAGCTTGTTTTATCAGCAATTTTTCAGCGATTTGAAACTCGATTTTTAAATATTCATTCATTCATTTTTTGTACATTAACTTATCAAAAAAAAAATCACATATAAAATAAACTTTATAAGATTTATAAGATTTATAAAAGTAAAATAAAATAAACTTTATAAGATTTATAAAAGTGAGCTAAAATACGAGTGGCTGATAGCTTGTATTACCATATTTCTAAAAATATTTTCCTCCAACGTCGATTGGTTGACTTCTTTATGGAAAGACGAACCCGACCAAAAACGATGAACCTTGAATGGCTGACTTCTTCCCAAAAATTTGCAAAACCATGCAAAAAAAATGGCCGATGCCGATTTTATGGGTTTTTCAGGTCTAAAATTTTTTCTCCTGAGTTGAGTAGTTTCGAGATTGTTTTCTTGCATTTATATAGATGTAAATAATCAGGATTTATAGATATCAAATCTTACATTATTACATTATTAGGAAATTCAAACGTTTGCAAAGATTTTTTTTTTGCTAAGTATAAACTGCAACATGAAGATCACTCGATTAAAGACAACGATCACCAAATATCACCCAATCAATTAATTTAATGGTCAATGACACTTAATTAACCATAAATAGTGAAACTATAGCCGAAATCATTTATAGTGAAGCGCTCTTTTGTTTCATTCCAAATTTTTCCTTTCATCCAATATCAGCTGACCTACTTAATTACAACTTAAAACCTGCATCACGAATTTTCAGCGAACATGGGTTGGAGTGAAATTATAACCAATGATCTCTCCGTCGGCGTTGATCAATTACATTTCTTTCATTATTGTTTCAAAAATTGGATTAAATATTTCGGACGAAAATCTTATTCAAAAATTACGATAGAATGATTATACGATGCATTTCATTTCTTCTAGCTGAACATATTTAATTTCTAAAAATTTATTTTTTAAAATTAAAAAATCTCTGGCTGAGTAACGTTCACTGATGAACCTCACTGATAGAATGCAAAGTACTTTTTTGCTAATTATTTTTGATTCCACTTTTCAAACTATTTCTCTCAGAATAAGGGAGGAAAAGATGAACTTGTTGCTTGCCTCAAAGCGCTTCGAACTTTGCTAACTGTTGCTTCACTTAATTCCTCTCAGGGAATAATAATAAATTGCCAGCCGAATTTAATTTAAGTATAAACTGCAACATGAAGATAATTTACGAGCAGAAATAATATTCTTGATCAACAGCAGGATAGTTAATAGCTTTTGGAGAAAAGGATGGTGGTGAATAATATTCAATAATATTCAATGAAGATAAAGCCACCATAGGTTCGGTTCCTTTGCCTTGATGGGACCAAATTGATTATTGAAAATCGGAGTTGGCGGAGTGTTTCTAATCCATGCTTCAAATTCTGTGACGAAAGGTTCTCATCTTAGAAGGAATGCTATAAAAAAGATGGGATAGAATTCTTTCTAAAAACTCACCTTTTATTTGAAAAGTTGATAAATTAATTAATTGCTTGCCATTCAGCTTATCAGCTTGTTTCAATAAGTTTAATATTAAAATAAGTAATTACAATTTAAATGAGTCATTTTCTTCTTCATCTTTTGAGCTGATTGGCAGTCATCTATTTAATCAACCTCTTTCGTATATTCTCAATCTTACATCTTCGAACTTAAATTTCTAGTAAAACCCTTTCCGCATATATTATGAGAGTATTTATGTCGAATCGGGTCGAATATTGAACATAAAAACGTTTCATAAAAATGTTTCTGAAATTCGCATAATTTGAGTTAAGTAAGTAATAATGCACGACAAATAACCTTAAAATTTCACCATATTTCATCAAATCAGCTATTTGTTTAATATGGTTATTGAAATTGGTCGAAGAAGGATTCTAAAGAAACTTCATTATCTTCGTTCAAGGTAAATTTTCATTGCACCACTCAAACAAATTGAGGTAAAATAATTAGCTTTTTCGTTCAGCTTGCTTCACTGGTTGATAGTATAGTGAAGAATTTTTGCTCTAGAGCAATTTTAGAATAGAAGTAATTAGATAGCCAGCACCACTCGAATATGTTTATTCCTGTTGGATGTAAGATCAAAATCTTGATGCTTAAGACTTAAATTTAAGTAGTCATTCGACTAACATGCCACTGCTGGACCGAATATACACCTTATATTTAGTAGATTTCTTTTCTCCAAACATGTTGCCATATGTAGCTGATAATTTTAAAAATGTGGCCAAGAAATTTGGGAAATTTAATGAAAAATTGCCAAAGATACTAATTGCTAGAATCGTCTAAAATTGCTTTAGATCGAATCTTTCTAATGTCAATGTTTTTCTTCACGGATATTTGCTGGCTAGCATTAATCACGGTCTAAATCTACTATTCAATTAGCTTTGGAAATGGCTTGATATTAATGCTTCTAGGCCACATATATTCGGAGCATAACTTATAGATTACTTCAATTCTTAAATTGATATCATAGGATTCATATTAGTGACTTTTCAGCGAGAAACTTGAAAATGTTCTTTCAAACCAAGATTGAAAATAAATTGGACTTTTAATAATTTCCTTGAAACTCAATAAAATTTAATATGAAAAGCATATATTTACTGTATCATCTTGATTTCACTTCGATGAAAAATGTATATTATATTAATCTAAATAAAACTAGTTTCAACTATTCAATTATTCATCAATAAGTTAAATATTCCTCTTTGAAATTCTTGCATAAAGTTATTTTGATCGAAAAACCCGGAAAACATTAATAACTACCAAATTATTTATCCGCAATTGTGAAATATTTCCATTAAAATTCACTGAAACCGAAAACTGTTCGGTTCTAATACGAGAAAAATATTAAGACTGAAGTATTAGCAAATTGGCTTACAGTGATATTTCCACACAAATCAAGAGAAATATGCCATCGTTGAAACCTATGCACCAGTATCCTCATCCACTATCGAAATTGATAACAATACTGGTAAGATGAGATCTATTTATTGTCACTTCTATTAGATCAGCTTATGAGAATTTGGTAATTTTTGGATTGGTGATCAATTTGCACAATCGAGTTAGCATAAACAAATTTTTCTTTTTTTAATTTATGAAATTTATAAAATATAATTTATAAAATTTCATTATCAAATTTAATTTCTAATCTTCCATATTTATAAAGTTCTCTTAACGGTATGACTTTACAGAATAAAAATTATCACAGGTTTGTCAGTAAATCCTATTATATTGGCTGCCTGTATGCAAATCTTTATAATATTTTTATTTTTAATTTATTTTTAATTTATTTTATAATAATAAATCAATGATAGATAGTTTGTTGACACGCTGGTACCAGCATTTGAGAACTACAACGATAGATTATAGAAAAACAGTCGTAATGCTGAAAATTGTTGGGATATTATTCCTTTTTCCTCTTTATGATATTAAAAATGATATCTTATTTATAATAATTTTCAGAAAACAAAGCTTACTTCACCATAAATTCTTGCATCTGAAGAGGTAATCGAAATTTCAATCTTTTTATGTCTCGTGTTAGATGTGCATTGCATGTTTATATTAATAGAATGAAGAATAAGGATTTGAAGTCATGAATAATAGGAAACCAAGATACAATAACGATATGAAAAAGATAGGAGCTGAAGGCATAGAAAAATAAAACAGTTCAATAACTACAGACATCACTTCACACCAAGAATCATTGCTTTAGCCGGTGGCGTATCCTCGTGCCGCATAACCTACTGGTGGTGGAGCTGCATAACCACCTCCAGATGCCACGATATATCTGTTTAAACGAAAAAATTTATTTTGTAGGAAGTGTTTGGCATGAAGAAAAAAATTTTTGCATATAGGAATAAAAAAACTTACTTGCCACCACCGCCTCCACAATGAGGCGTTGAGCCACATGGTGGTGCTGGACAGCACTGAGTACTCAAACAAGCATAACTACATCCAACAAGCATCATTAGCATAAAAAGAATCTAAAAATTATTAAACAAATATTAACTTCAAACTTTTTTTCATGTCATACTTTTTGATTAAAAATTGGATATTATAAAGCAAAATAGTATCTAAATTCTGCATCTAATTATGAAATTAAACAAAGCCATGTCGCAGATACCGAAGCAAAAAGTGCCTTTTGTCAGCCAAGAATTTTTTTCAGAAATCATAAAATTCATAAATGTATAAGCACGACTGTTGACTGTTGACCAGACTTCTTAAGTGACTTCTCAGACTTTGCATAATACCTCTAGGAATAAATCTAAACTAAGCCTGATCCATTTGTACTGTCGCTGGTCTAAAGCCAGCAATTACAAGTGCTAACTAACTATTTATGTTTAGTTACTTAAAGCATAAAATTTTCTCAGAATTCAACAGATTTATGCATATAATAGAATAGAATAAAGAAAATATGAAAAAGACAAATTACCATAATGTGAGAAATACTGATGTTTTCGCAGAACGGCAGTGGCAGTATTCGTTGATATGATCAAACCAAACAACTGATTTCGACGTCGATGAATTTGCCTTAAGTACTCTTTGAGGCGATATATTGAAACATTTTAAAACCAGTTGAACTAAAAAGAGATGCTGGTGGTTATAGATGAGCTATAATAAGGTAGATCCGGTGATATTCAGACTCCTCGATCTCTCTGTGAATCTCTCCGATTAGACGTTTAAAGTAGTCTTTCTTCTTGTTTTCCACAGCTATTACGAATATTTTCTCTCTTCTACAATGACCGTAAGGAAAAAAAAATGAAGAAAAATGAAATAACGATTGATATTTTGTGAATTTTGATTACACATTAATCACATTGTTTGAAAATTTTTTCTACGACATTTTCTTATTGAATGATGGCGTATAATAATTATTTTCTGAGTCAACAAAATGCCAGAATGCCGTCCGGTTGTTCACATATAATCGCGTCAATATCCTTTCTATTTCATTATTTTTGTATATCTCAGTAATTCTTAGCAAATTTTTTAACACTACTGATGATACTAATTTTGTTGATTTATTACTAATCCAGTCTGATGCATCTTCGCTAGTGTGCATAGAAGTACAGAATGGTCGCTAACATCGACCGGAGTTCACTATTAATTACTTCTGTGGACAGGAATCGAACTTATCGTCACTCTTTAAGCACTCGATCACTGCGAGCAAAAGTTTCACAAAATTCGATTTATTCAATTACGCATTTTTTTTCACTCTTTTATTTATTAAATGCATTTTTTAATTATATTGTTTCACATTAATTATTTCTTCTTTTATTATTATATCGATATAGTTTAAGTATTAAATCATCATCATGGTAGCTATTCATTTCGAAAATTGTAGACTCGTTTTACAGCTATTTTCCTGTCGTATCAGCCGTTTATCATCGAAATTTTGCTTATTAATCACTTAGACAGTGTTGCCTTCATTTAGATTAATAATCTAAAGACCATTATTAAATTTGTCATCTTAACGTCCATATTTCCACATTGAAATGACCTCCCGTTCAGATTAGAATCTAGTTTTTATACGAACTTTTAGAGTATTTTTATTAGATATCTGGAAGAAAATAAATGATATCTGTAAATAATGTGGTAACTTTTTTTCTTAAGAGTCCTCACCATTACTGGTTAAACTCGTTTGACTGGCTTGTCGCATTGGACAATATGCCAGGGAGACAGTATGCCCTTGGCGATGGAAATACAGATGAGTCGCCAGCATCACTTGGATTTTTGGACAGATTCACTCTTGCGGGAAATCGAACCTCAGCATCGGCGCTCCCACTTGAGCAACAGCCCACTGAGTCATTCTATCTCCATGTGTGGGCTGCTGCTCAATTGGGTAATATATGATAAGAATAATGTAGTTATGAAGAAGTTTAAATTTTTCTATTCAGAATAAAATTATAATGCAAATATGAGCAGAAATCGTGAACCTCTTCAAAGGTTTATGAAGAATATTACCCGTTAATCTTTAGAAAAGCCTTAGCTTAATTCTTGAGAAATATATGTGTTATATTAAATCATTCAGTAATTAAAAATTATAAAATAAAATGAAAAATTAAAATGATAGAAAAATTTTATCATCACTTCACAATTTCTGATCATATATTATCGAATCAACTTATTTTTACATACAACGTTTTAGTTTTGAAAATGGAAATGCTTGTTTCATCCAACGTACGCTCCACCACCACCACCTCCATACTGCGGCCCTGCATAACCACCAGCAGGACCTTTAGCATAACCACCACCACCGCCAGTTACTGGTGGTAGTGCAGGAGGAACTGCATAACCGCTATAAAATGAATGATGGTGTAAGAGTATTGGAACGATAATTTAAGCAAATTAAACTTTTGCATGAATTTTGTCGATAACGAAATTGATCAAAAAAATTTGTGACTCTAAAATATTTTACCCTTTTGGTTCTGGAGCTGCCTGATGGCATCCTGTCTGTGGACAACCACATCCACATCCTCCTCCACCTCCACCCAAGCCTGGAAAGAAAAATGCCTCACTGCTCACTATAAGGCATAAAAGCGGTATTGCCTGCAAATCATTTAAATCTCATTTAATCCTGATTTTTTCATATTCTCAAAAATTGCAGTTACTTTAATGAAATGAATTTAGATTGCTTATGATTTGTATGAAGATTTGTATATTTACATATATTTATTTATATTTGCTTTACTTGCAATGCTTGATTGTTGTGAATAAAATGAATATTCCTGCGATTTAGAAATAATTTTTTTTTAGTCACTCTCTTCGATTACGATTTACATTCCTGTTTTCTTATAGTTTATATTTTCCAATTTACATTTTTTTCCTGATGGATAAGAGAATCGTTCTTTGTCACCACGCTTTTGATTTTTATTTAAGGCAAAACTTAAGATTTTATATGTCATTAATCGCTGTTTTTTCAAGACCACTTAATTTTCTTTCTGATTCACCGCTTTTTATGTTAACTGTTGATCCGGTGGTGGAAAACTGGTTTTGTAAGATACTGAGATTATATTATAGTTGTCTATGACCTTGAGGTGAAAACAGGTGAATTTATAAAATCGAAATCGAAATGCGATAGTAATATATAGGTTTTGCGGGATATAAAAGTAATTCTGAGAAAAAGGTCGTAATGAAATAGTAAGGTTAATAGTTGAGAAATTCGCTCATTAGAATTCATCATTCCATTTCGCTGCACTGGCTAATAGTAGAATGCGAAATTCTCACCAGAGAATCAGTCATTCGGGAATAGATTGTTAGTGAATACCCAGAGCTTTGACGATTGAGACGAAAATCTAGGCAACAATCACTCCGCTATCCTGCCTATGAATATAAGAAATTTTTTTTTTTTTCAAGAGTCCTCACCATTACTGGTCAAACTCGCTCCACTGGCTTGTCGCATTGGGCAACATACCAGAGAGTCCCTTTAGAGATAGAAATACAGATGAGTCGCCAGCATCACCCGCATTTTTGTACAGGTTTACTCCTGCGGGGAATCGAACCTCAGCATTGGCGCTCTCGATTGAGCAACAACCCACTGAGCCATTCTATTATAAGAGATACATTAAATTAATCTAAACATTAAAAATTGTTTCTTCAATGAGCTGCCAGAAGCATTAGTCTGGATAGACGAGTATTATTACTTACTGTAAACTTACTAAATTGTTCTTCTAAATGCTGGTAATGTGATTTTAAATATACACAAAATACACAAGATGAAAAAGCGACGATATAGTATTAATTCACGCCTTAATCTAACTATTCCAAAAGTTTTTTACGACTTTGGAAAGAAATATCGATGAGAAATGATGGATAAGGGATATTTTTTAAAAATTTCATATAAATTTCATATAAAACATAAAAGTCGTAAGGATTAAAAAGAATTCTATATTGAGTCGATACATGGATCCTTGCCTTAGAATCAATCGCGATAAATGATTTTAAAATATATCATATATATAAATAAAAATAGCCTAAAGAAATGCGGCATGTGATGTAAGCGATGAAATCACGATTAAAAATTTGAAATAGACTTACAAGTTTTGAGGCCATCGTATAAATTCTTGAAGAGTGGAGATCAACTGGTGCAAAAAAAGATATCCGAATGAAAAAAATGCTAGATCTGAGCGACTTTTTATAGCGCAAATTTTTTATAACCCTAATAGAAAATCTGGAAATCTAGCAGTAGGGAATCCGGAAATCTAGTCTTTCTTTCCTAATTCAAGTTCTTAGGCTGGACTTTGCTCGAATGATATATTATCTTATACTTAATGCATGGAGATCTTTGTTTTTTTGCGAAAAAAATTAGTAGAAAATAATGAAAAACTTGATTAAACAAAAACCATTTTTCAAACATTTTCAAAATTACAAACTAACGAGTTTTTTAATAATCCTTCAATTTTTTTTTGTTTTCTGCTTAACATGATAACCATGATAATCGATCATGAAAACTTTTCGATTCTCCTAATTTTTCTTCATTTTTCACAAAAAAAGTATGAAAATAATATGCGTTAGCATGAAATACGATAGAAATTTATTTATAGAATATTTGCCATTTCTAAATTAAATGAAAACCATTTTAATAATAATTTTAATAGGAGAAGTTAATAAGAAAATTTGGATAAAATGGTCGAATGATATGTTTTAAATTCAAGTAGAACATATTATGTTTAAACTACATTTATGTTATAATAGTGTAAATTAAAGTCATATTTAGGTATAAAGAAATATAAGATAAAGATATAGGTGGTATACTTAAGCATAAAATATCTATAAATCAGATCAGGTCCAATTTCTGACCTTAAAGAGAGAGAGCCATAAAATGCCACTGAATGTAGAAATCGGGTGGTGCTGTGGACGTTTATTTTACCATCAAATGGATTTTTTCCTCGAATACTCGATAATGTTAATCAAAGTAAGAATGATAAGTTCTGTCTGATGAAGAAGTAAAAAAAATAAAAAAAGTGAGAATAATAATTAAGGTCATTGTAAATTTCACATTACCGAATCACACTCAGGTAATTCTATGGATATGAGTCTATGGATATGCCATGTTGCGTTTGAATGTACTATCTTCAGGCTATTAGCTATTTATATTTTTCATTATTTTCGATTTTTTTCACGTTATATTTATATTTTATAATGCTTATATCATAATTTTTGCGATGATTTGTTACGATGATATAACAGAAGAAATAGTCGCCAGTCACCACACGAGAGTTTTCCATGAGAATTTTCAAATAACTTCATATAAGCAAAATGTTCTAACAAATTTCAAAGTTTTGCGAATCTTTATAGGTTTTAATATGTAGTTCAGCTACTACTAATTGTGCAACTATTAGCATAATTATTTCCACAAATCTCTGATTTCATCGAAAAAAATAGCATTTAATAGCATTTGTTTAATCAAACAAAACCAAAGTGGCTGTAGAGAAATAGAGAGGTTTGTAGTATCTTCGAAATAACTTTCAAATCCATGTTGCTTTTTTTCAATTCATTCTGTTCTCTTGATTTTTGTCCATATAGAGTTCCACATCTCCCTTAAACTTCATTAAGCGGCGTATGAAGCCACATTACAATGAATAAAAAAATTCGGCCATAAAATGCTAAAACGACTTCGAATAATTGAGAAATAATGGCTATAAATTATTGCAAATTCCCAGAATCTATTTAAAATCTGGTTTTCGAAATACGATGAAAGGCAGCAAAATCAGTCATCAGAATTCGTAATAATGAATAAGTTTAATAAAGCCGCCGAAGTCATTTTTAATTAGTATTACATCTGTTTTCCAAAAACGGTTTCTTTTCAACGTCGATTGAAACCAGTTTGGATTTAATGTGATTTCAATGTGAGAATAACGAGCAACATCCGTCTTAGTGAAAGATTGGGAAGATCACCAAACTGTTCTACGACCGTAATTATAATCTGTTTATGATTCACAATTTTTCGAAAAAACTTTATTTTATGGTATAATTTTTAGGAAATATCGGCTCAATTTCGAGTATCTGATGCAAATTAAACAGTAAAACAAATCTGCTTTCAAAATGGTTTAAAAGAGAGCTTACTGCGCCTCTATTAGTGCATTTAGCTAGAACCAATCGTTTGGAGAGGGATTATAGAATACAGGCCCTCAGTATATATACTCATGTTTTTCGATAACGAGTTTGCTTCTAGTAGAAGAAGGGCTGTTGACGCTCGGAGTGATAACTCAAGCAATAACCTCAGTTATTTCCCTCCTATGAAAGTGAGATTTTTTCATTTCTAACTATTTTATAAATCAATTACTTAATTTATTTTATTTTAATAACAAATAACTTAAAATCTCAAAAAAATTATACGAAATTACAGAGGGAATATATTGAATTTAATGAAAATTCTAAATCTTTCTCCTTCCTTTAATATCAGTGCTTTCTGCTTTCTCTAAGACCGATTCACTCATGACCTTTCATATAATTAATAATAATCCCACATAATAAATAACAACACGAATATGTGCCTTTGCGATTCGTCTGGAGACATTTTTAATGCGGTGCAAATTGTTAATATTTGATTCCTACATGGTGCTTTAATGAAACCGACCAGTTATATTTTTGTTTCGTGTTGTTCGAAACGGACAGAGCCATTGTCGATCTACCTTTTGCCAAATGCATCAATTTTTATTTTACTGGTTTTTTTTAAAATTACTTTTGGTGACACAGCAATATGATTATTGGAATTAAAATTGACTTAACTAGCCACTGGCTGGTTGATTCGATGAAATACAGCGAGCCATTTAGCCCTATTCAAAGACTTCGCATATGGTACCTCGTAATTTAATGCATAATTAACTCTAAAAAAACAATTGCACGAAAAATCTTGAATTAGATTCAAAATTTCGCGAGTAGAATTAGAAAAGAAAAAATATTAATAATATTTTTTAAAATTTAATAAATGGCAGTTAAATTGTAAGAGGGATATTCGTTTCATTTATACGAGGCAAGGATTTCAGAAAGCCATGCATGCTTTAAATAAATAACATTGAAGAACTTTAATATGCGACGTACATTTTTGCTATTTCAAAAGATTGTAAAACGCATGATTTTATCATGATAGATAATTAAATATTATAAAAAATAATATTAATAATAATAGCAATAATAATAATCAATAAATGGTTGCTTTAATGAAGATTAAGTCTAAAATGATAATTTAAATCGCTTATAAGTAGTAATTTTAACCCATTTTAAAAATATCAAAACATATTTAATGACAATTTTTAAAATATAATTAATTTTTTAAATATAATAATACAAAAAAACAACCATAAAAATGAACGAAAAAAACAAGCTGAAAGAGGCAATAGCCGTATGAGATAACGAAAAAGGTTGAACTGGTGATATTAACTGATATTAAATTTAATTTGGTCATTTCATAGTATAATAAATCGCATGCATAATTCAAGATGATCTGCATGAGAAAAGATGTGCATTATATACAGACAATAACATTAGCAGTTTGTTCGTTAGCCATATTTTGAGCCACCACCACCACCAGCTCCATAGACGCCGTCACCAGCTCTATATGCGCCAGCACCACCAATAGCTCCATAAGTACCGCCGCTACCAGCAACTCCATAGGCGCCACCGCCACCTTTATAACTGGGAGCAGGAGCTGCATAAGCACCCGCACCTCCATAGCTCAGAGGAGCAACCGCGTACCCCCCGGGTGGTGCCGGAGGAGGTGGAAAATGACTGAAATACTTTTTTTGTAAAAGAATATATTATATTATTAAATAATATATTATTTTAAATTTAATGCCTTTTAAATTTAATAGAAATAGAAAATTTATTAAAAATTGAGTCGGTTCAAGTTTTTTTTACTTTTATTCATTTAATTTTTTTATTAATTTTTAATTTAGAACTTTGAGAAAATAATACATACCCAGCCGCCGCACCAACACCAGAACATCCTCCACATCCACCACCGCCACCACCACATGGTGGTGCTGCTGGTGGGCAGCCACCGCCTCCTCCTGTTGGACAACAACAACTGGGAAGTTTTAGTGATGGCAGACAAATTGGTGGAGGAGGGGGTAATGTAGGCAATGATAGGCAGCAACATTGCATTTGTCCTCCGCATGGTGGTTGAGGACAACATCCACCACCTCCGATACATGCTTGAGCAGGAATTGCTAGCGCGATAAGTACAAACAATCGTTTCTACAAGTTACTGTATTAACAAAGCATTTAATAAAAGAAATCATTATGAAATACATTTTATTAGCTTATAAAAGCATTAGAATATGAAATAAAATTTGTGCGAAAATGGAAAAACAATAAATTAGAATAAATTCGCCACCGCAGGTTATTTCTGCAACATGGATCGAATTATTTGTAATAGTTATATACTCTTCGTATAAGAGATTATGAAGAGATCTAGAACGTTACCAGTTGAAATATATGAAAGAACAAACCATGTCACCACCTGAACGATAGCCTTCTTAGTCGACTGATGAGGGATTTATGGGATTTCTCTTTTATATATACGATTTATTGCTGAGAAATAGATAACAGAATTTTGAAGTTTCATGGTAATTGTTTCGCTATGTTGTTCAAACACACAAAGAAGTCTATTGTTTTCGAATGTTGAATCGAATATTTTCGGCAGTTTCTTCCGTTTCAATCTTGTTTTCTAATAATTTTTACATTGATCATTCTTTTCTCTCTAAGCGTTAGTCTTTTTTGCAGCTAAATCGAACGAAAAAAATTACGCCTTTCAAGCGAAGCATATTCGCATGCTCGCCCATGCAAAAAACCTTCAAAACGAACTACCAAAATTTTAAATAACATGTACATTCTTTTCTTTAGTATATGAATTTTAGAAAAATTTCCATAACTAAAATTGTTTTATTATTAACACTGGCGTATGTTAATTTTAATAATTTTAATGTTAATTTTAATTTTAATCGATTAGAAATTAGCCTGACATTAAGAACTAGAAGACCTCAAGGCGCTATTCCTCTTGTTTCATTGGTAGGTGGAAAGTTGTCATTAAAATTCGGAGAACTTGGACAGCAGTCGTTTCTTTTCAGAAATGTACACATTGGAGAATAAGGCTCTATGAAAGCAGTTCAAGTTAATTAGAGGATGAAGATATTTCATGGAATAAAAAAAATGAATCGACAATATGAAGTATCCAGTTTTTATATGAAAACCAGGTTTATAATCAAGCGATTGTGACGACGATTGCAAAAACAAATTGTAGCTTCAACTCTATTCTAAATCACTTTTTTCAATGATAGGAATGAAGTGCTATCAACTTTTTTCAAAAGAAATTTTGTTAACAAAAAATTTATCAACAAGGAATTAGCCGAAACATCAATGCGAGTTACATCAATTAGTAGGGTTGCTGTAAAAATGGTCAATATCACCAAGTTAGTCGAAGTTTCGTTTCTGCAATAATTCTCCGAACCGCAATATTTGAACAGTTTAATATTTACCACTATTATCTGGAATCATGAGCTATTTATTGAGAAAGCCCTTTGCAAAGGTTTTTTTTGTGGCCCGACTTGAACCTGTTGCATTTTAATAAGTCTTTTTCAAGCCTCTTTACACAATTTTTCGGCTACCAGATCAGTTTTTCATGGCTTAATTTGGTCAACTCTACTACTAAATTCTCTAATTTCTCTATAAACTCTACTAATTTCTAATTAAATGCAGTTGACGATTGACTTAGTTGTTTTCAAATAATAGTGTAAATGTTCTCAGCGAATTTTCTTTTTATAAGAATTACAGAGAATTATTTCTTCCTCCTAAAATTTTCTGATTTTCTTAAAATTATTGCTGGAAGAATCTTTGAATAATTTTTTTCTGTTTGTGCAGAAAATTTTACAAAACAGACTAAACTTATCATAATTCCACTCTTATCATTAAAAATGGTGCTAAGAGTTGAAAGGAATCATTTGTACTTGCTTGCAAGATGAAATCCGCCGATGAAATTATCTCATTACTTCAGTGGTTGATGCAGAAGTGCATTTTAAAATACCATTATTTATATTTTCTTCCAAATATCTTAATTAAGAGATTAATCTTGGTGATTCTTGGAGAAATTTCGTTTATTATGCTAATTATGTTAGTATAAATTTAATTAGGCATCGATTATTTCACTTTTCATTTCCACGCAAATTTTTTATAGTGCATTGAATAAAATCAAGTTTTTGGAATCATAAGTAGCGATAATAATTAAAATTTGACTGAGCAAGATTTCTTTTGATTTATTAATTTACGAATATTCGTTGCAGTAACTAATTGAATAATAATTATTAGGGAAGAAAGACATCAAGATTGAAAAAATTCGGAATCTTTGGGTGAACATAAGTGAAAACATTTCATATTCTATCTTCAATTCATGCTCACATTTATAGGAATGGATAGCCAAAAACACTCAACTTGGGATCACCATGAAAAATTTACTAATTTACGCGCGAGTTCAAAGGTTGCCCACGATAGAAGTAAACCTGCCATTAAAAAATTCGAGTGACATTCGCCATCTATCGTTGCCAGAAATTTCTGTATCTGTTAATAGCTATCACCCATAGCAAACCTAAGCAGAAGCGATGAACGCTTGCTTGCTTGTGAGAGTTGAGGTGAGACCGAAGATAAAATTATAAGTTTCAGATACGGCGAAATTCAGCCAAATTCAGTCTTACTTACAAATTTTTAGAGTTTTAGCATAATTCATTCAAATTTAATTAAATTCGAACTCAAATTAAAACAGCCACTTAAACCGTTCAATTGTTCTTTAATATTTTATTATTAAATTATAATAAAATCGCTGTTTTTAATTTTATAAAAGAATTCGAATATTCGCACCGCACTGAGGAAAAGAAATTTTGTTTTAATTTTCATTTTTTTTGGTCTTTTAAATCACAAATGGAAGCACAAATTTTCGAACGAAAAGGGAATTGGCAAACGTGGCAAAATTTCTTTCATCATAATTCATTTCAATAAAATTAAACGATTAATTGCTCAATTGCTCGGTTTCAAATGAAATCAACTGGTATCGTCGTTGTATCAAACAATGCAACTGTTTCTTCTTCGGTTTTTTTCGAAAACCATTCGGTTTCTATGGAAGAAAGATATTTAAACCAAAAAAGTGGCAAATTCTTGGAAGACCATTATACCACGAGATGTAAATCCCACTAAGAAATCCGGCTGTTGATGGCGACTCATCTCTTCTATTCTCAGACGATTCCCTAGCGCAAACTGCCTCATCCTACAATAGACAGTGCAGTCTCACGAGAAAAGAGGGGTAAGTGTTGACTAATTGACTAGTAAAGGCATAAAATAACGACAAAGTTAACGATCACTGTTTGTTATAATTTCTAGAAAGAAGGAATGACTTCGGTTTAAATGGCAGCGCAATTTTTTAAATTTACCGATAAACCAAGTTGAAATAAAAATAAAAACGTGAAAAATTAAAATTAGCCATCACTTAATCCGTAAGACAATTTAGAATCCATTCCTAAATAAAATAATTTTAGAAGCGTCGAAGAAGATTTAACGTGTCTTCGCAAGCCAAGTTTATTCAGATTATTCGCTAATTCGAAATGCAGAAGATCGCCACATGTCGTCAATCTTCTGCATTTGCTGGAAAAAAAAAAATCCTTCCGATTCTGAAATATGCCAATTTTTCAACTTAGAAGCAAATTATATTGATTCATTGTGAAGTTTGAAGTACCCACGCGACCACCATAAAGAATCATCTAAAATCTATAATATAAAATCTAGTTCTTGTAGATTTCTATTTGTACAAATAACTTTCGACAGAGCTATTCCAAGTAATCAATTTCTAAGAGAATTAGCAAAATAGAATCTTGAATTTTCTCGCTTAATTGCTAAATTTAGTGAATTTTAACGATGAGTTAAATTTTGAGAAATACCCCTCCTTATACATATATATATAATGAATGTAGTTCGGCGTAAATTTTCACGTTTGTCTAGCTTGGATGAGATATTCCAGAGTTATTAGGGGGAGAAGTTTAAAGATCCTTGGCTCCTCAGCACCATTCGAATATAACAGTATTAATTTCTATTATTTCTTCTGAAGCAATTATCATAGGCTCTAAGATCTAAAATAGACGAATTAGCAGATAATTTATTAAAATTTATATATTTTCCTAATTTAGATTTCATTAAATTTTCATGGAATAGGACTGGCCATGCATAGTTGTATTTTACATCTCTTTATTTTCGCTATTTTGAACTTCGTTACTCGGGCTGAATCAATAAATCAAGTTGAACAGACCATTCGAGCCAAACGACAGCTTTTTTATGGTGATTATATGGGATATTACGGATACGGATAGTAAGTAAATCTTTGCAAAATCTTTAGTGAATAAAGGTACAAAAATATGCGAAATGAATAAAACCGTAAGAGAATAAGCAAAACGTAGTTAAAGCACTTTATCAGATGTTGTTATTAACCTAATTTTTCGTTTCTATTAGCTTGTTAGGATGAGAAATTAAGGTTGCTAAAATAAAGAATAAGACCGATGAGGAACTACATAGATTAAGATAAGGCGACCATGAATCTAGTCCTTATTCCTTAATGTGGGTGAATTTGCCATGTGATAATGGAAACCCAGTTGCACCTCTAATGACTTTTTAGCGAAGACATTTTATTCTAATAACAAGAGGAACTAAACCAGGAGTATCAATGGGCTTGTTAGAAAGAAAAAAAAACACCGTAAAGACCAATGAATTTTTAGTCAATGGATTCGTATAATAATTATTATCATTGTAATTTTGCTTCTTTTTGCCTGCTGCATTATACCATGTGTTTGTACCATTGGCATATTATTTGCTGGTTGGTTTGGACTAAAAAAACCAAGAAAAAAAGAGCCGTCTGTTGAAGGAACGCCATCAAATGCACCAGCTTCAAGTGCACCAGTACCATCTAACAATTGGCCACTACCAGCCACACAACCTATAATTCTTCAAGGTAATAATTATCAAATAAACCACACAAAGTACCTGAATAATACGATCAAAAATCTCAAAAAATGATTTTTATGATGAAACTGAAAGAATTCATTAACGAAATATTAAAATAAAATTTCTGCTAGTTTTGCCCATTTTCCCATCAAAACGAGATTTGGTTTTAACAATAGTCTCTAGATTGCATAAAGCAATATTTTTTGTGCCCTTCGGCCATAACCATTCATTCGATCTTCGAGACTATTTTGAAGAAAATCGAATAAAATCGAATCCGAACTGCATAGCTATTTGCTCAGCGATAAGAAACAATAATGGTTCCCACATAATTTTAATTACTTCAAAGCGGTTGATTAATCAGAATAAATTTTTCTCCGTTTAGCACCGCAAATGGATAACAATGTACCAAAAGAACGCAGCGATGAATATATTTATGAGGCTCGACGAACCACGAATAGCTCCTACCGACCATATGACTATTTCAATCGCCACCGAACCTCAAGGATATAATCTACATGTCTATGGTTATACAATTTTGGTTATATAATATAATTTTTATGTCTAAAATACCAAGAATTAAAAAATTAACAAGATCTACGGCGTTCTTTCTTGTACCAATACTAAATGAAAAGCGAATAAAAATTAGAACTACTGAATATAATTATTTGTTTTATTTGATATCCAGTATTATTTAACCTTTCGCTCTTATTCCCATTATTTTCGTTCCATAAAATGAAAAAGCTCGATTTCTTGGCTTTCTTCTTTAAATATGTGATAATGGAACAAAATGATATAACTATTGATCTCTGCGATAAATAACGATAATAGATGACTTGAACATAACAATACCAACTTAAAAAAAGAATTTTTTTTTCAATATTATCACTGAAATTTTCGAACAAACAATAGCCAATAAAACCTAAGCAAAGAATAAAGTAATACGAAAAAATTCGTCGAAAAAAATTTTTTGTTCGCCAGAATTTCATATATATTTAGCATCACAAAGCAGAACCCAATTCAACTATTTATATTTCGCATTCTTCAAATTTGATTGAAAAAGTATGAAAGCAACAATGGGTTTCGATATTATTGATTTGTTCAAGCCACACCGTGTCCGCTGGAAATGCTGCGACCGGACTGTTGCACAGATCACCGTTTAGAGCTCTAGCGACCTTAGCTTACTTCCTCACCCCCTCCCCCTCATGAAACCAAAATTGCCATAAAAATAAACGTAGAGCTGGGGAGCCGTATTTCCGTTCTCAAAGAAATCCTGAAAAAAATTTCTCGTTTCTCGACGGCCTGCGAATCAAGTCTAATCTGAAATGGTGAGCGAAAACTACTTTACAGAAATTTTAATTTCAAATGAAAAAAATTTAAAATTGATACTATGATTTTAATGAAAAAAGTCCAATATTTCAAAGTTGGAGTTCAAATATTCAATAATAATTAATTCTTACTTCAAAAACAATTCTTTTTATTGAATGATTTATTTTGCTGGTTATTGAATAACAATTGAGCGATATAATTCAAAAAATATTACCAAATAAACAATAAAATAAGCTTCCATATATTTTAGAATTTTAGAATTCAAAATTCTAATTCAAAATTCAAAGAATCGCAAGTAAAATTTTATTATCAGTGTTTGATAACATTATGATGATAATATTTTATCGTTCTGATGTTTAAAATAAAAAAAAATTAAAGGCCATTTGAACAATTTTCGAAAATTTTTTATTAAAAAAGCTATAAAACTATAAAAAAAACTATAAAAGTATTAATAAAACATGAGACCAAATTATTTAAATATATAGAAAAACAACAGCTTGAATAAAAACCCACTTAAATTTCTGGTGGTGGTATTATTTTGATTGCTTCTTTAACATATTCATACAATTCCGAATATTCTTCATGCTTACGAATGAATAATATAATAACTGCACGTTTATGACCTGAATAGGAGAGAAATATTACTATAAAATATTATTACTGAATTAAAAAATACTGAATTATATACTGAATTAAAATAAAAACTCATTTTATACGAGTAATTTTACCTGCAAATACAAATATAATTTAACAAGGATTATGAATATTATATTTAATGAAACCTATGTTTTTTCGACCCAATTACATAACTGGAAGGAATGAGTTTAAAAATCTATAGATTTTTAGCAAATTAGAGTAAAATGAAGGCAATTTTTAAAATATTCAAACATATAGTGAAAATAATCAAATAAATATCAATAGAAAAAGATTTACCCATGGCAAAACCAAGATGTTCTCGCGATGGCGTAAAAATATATGGCAAATCCTTTTCCTCGCACCAGGCTGGAATATGCGAATAAACATCGATAGGTTGCACATTACCTTAAGACCAGAAACTTCATAATTGGTCATAAAATGTTGGAAATAGGGACTAATTTTCATAGCTCCAAGATTTTATAGAAAAAGACCAATTAGCAAAATTAGAAAAAGACCAATTAGAAAAGCAAAAAAAAAATAAAAAAATAAAGTGATATGTATATAAATAGTACCTGCAAGAATAACAATACCCTTTTCATCACGCCGGATGGCTTTTTGCACATCACTGATTCCTTGGCGCACATATCCTTTTTCTTTTGAAGCCTAAATTTTCCTTTATATCGATAAGATATTGATCTATAAAATCCAGAGGTATAAATAAGAAACTGGTTCAAAAATGCGAATAAGGAATAATATTAATAAGGATATTTATTGGAAATTTATACAATTCATCTCTACCTAATTCCATTTCTTTTAAATTATTATCCTTAAATATTGTAAATTAAATAATGAAATACACCTCTTTCACAAGTTTGTAAATTTTCTTCGCCAACTTTCTCTTAGCAATAGGATAAGCGATAGAATTGCATAACTTACAAAGCTCATCATATTCAACCTAAAATCATAAACCATAAACCAATAAAATTCATGAGTCATCATTAATAATAAATTTTACCCAGCTCAACCATACAATGAAAAAAAAAAATTTCATTCTTGAGTCAATTTTATTGCCCACAAATACAAAATAGAAATTTTAAAGAAACAAACTTTTTCTGTTACAGGAACCAACTGTTCATCCGAAGCATCATAAATAGCCAAATCCGTCACTTCTTCCTTTATTGTCTTTTTAGTTCCAAATTCCCTCATCTTAAAGAAGAGGAATCCACCAATGCATATGTTGAAAAATATAAAAAATAAAAAAATTTGTCATAAAACACAGGACGTCAAAATTTAAACGTCATTCAACGAATTAGCAAACATATTTAACAGATAAACTTTTATTAATATTTGTGGTAATAAATTCAACAAAAACATAATTCTTAGAAATTCTTAAAAATAAAATCGGAGAATGATTCTTAAAATAATTTCTACTTCTATACTTTGTTTTATTTTAAAAAGAAATAGAAATTTACTGGAATATAAGCAAAATAGCACTAATATATATGAAAAACCCTAGAAGATAATTTTTTTTCGAAAAAATCGGATTTTTTCATATAGTATATGGAAAAATACAGATCTACTCACTCAATAAATATTGTGGGTAATAAACAGATTTAAAAGAGAACAAATTACAATGAACGAACAAAAACTGCAAAATAAAAAAACAATAAATTCTATTTATATTTTTAAAAAAAATTTGCCGAAATTTCTATTTCTATATGTTTTTGCTGATAAAGGACAAAAAAGAATCTTTCAAGATTTGGAAAAAAAAGGTGGAAATAAGAAAAGAAGCATTTAACCGCTATCACTATCGAATCTGATTGAATGAATTTCTCGATTTATTTCACCACCACTATATGTGCCACGCTTTTTTTTCAATTTTTGATGCCTAAAACCTTTGCCTTGTACATTCTTGAAGGCTTCATACGCCTTTTTACCCCACTGATCATATCCCTGGAAAATACTGACACGAGAACTTGGTAAAATACCAGTGTTCAGTAACATAAAACAGAGGACTAAAGAATTTCCAATTATATTTTTCTTTAATGAGAAATTATATAAAAAGAAATGATTTTTTAATGTAAGAATTCAAATTTAAAGCAAAATGAAACCCACTTTTCCTCTAAATGAATTATCCTTGAACTTTTCAGATAATTCTTCTTTTGAATTAGTCACTCTACGGTAAGGCTCCTTTTTCTCTCTGAAAAATAAAACAGATTAACCTTTCAGTTGAAATAAAATTTAAAAAAATAATTATATCAATGTATCAAAAAAATTTATCAAAATATAAAAAGTTAGAAGTAAAGAAAATAAAAAATAAATAAGTAAAAATAAAAAACACAAATCAAAAAACCAAAATTATTTCATCGTCTTCTACCTATTCGCATTTTACATCATTTTGATAAGCTGAAATAAAAAATGAATAACATACTTAATTTTCTCATTTTCCTTGTGTTTTTGAGAAGTATTTATTGATTGATTATTGTTATTTTTTCCTTCAGTTTCAGAATCAACAACTGATGACTCACTGCTAGATATACTCTTTTCAGAAATTTTCTTTTTCTCACTAGTTTTTTTTGAAGTGTCCATTTTTGTCGCAAATTCTTTCTTCAAGAAATTATTTTCAGAACTTGATTTATTTGTTATGTTGGTTGAATCACTTCTTTTTTTCTCACTTTCATTATTGTTGGAACTATCAGAGCTTTCTGATGAACTAGTACTATTCTTCTGCTTATCCTGAACACGAATTTTACTGGTAGTATACCACTGTTTCATTTGTAAAGCTGCTCTCTGTTTATTGTCGCTTTCCGAACTACTATCGGATGAACTTCCGTTTTTGCCCTTTGCAGCAATGGTACTTGTTTTATGCACCTCAGCATTTGTTTTAATAGACTTCTTCGCACTATTATTATCATTGGAATCCCTGCTGTCTGACGAATTTTGAGCCTTTTGTGACTTTGATTTGCTGTGAGAAATAGGAGCAAATTTATTCTGAACAAATGATTTTACCGTTTCTTTCTGAAAAATATAGGAGATAAACCGTTCATATTTTTCAAAAATATTGCCCTTTCCAAAGCCAAGGCAAAATAAGGAAAAATGATTTTTGTATGTCTCAGATGATTAATCAGGATCGCTTCACTTTTCGTAGAGATAAAATTGTTTTATGGCACTACTTAAACTCTACGAAAATAATTCTCGCAAAGCTCTAAAATGCCAATCTGCTATATTTATGGAACTAAAAAAACTAAATAGATGAATCATAATTAAATAAACCTAAGAAAAATGAAATTTGAATGAAAAAAATGAAATTTCATTATCTAATTAATTAAAGTTAGGAAAGAACAATGTCACACAATTGAAATAAGACAAATATTTTATCAACATCAGTAAATTTCTACACCAAATTGAATATTGCTTAATAATAAGTGGTTTAAAAAACGATCGACTGGATAAAAAATGAAGAAACGAAAAAAACAAAAAACAACCTAGAAAGTTGATAAATCAAAAATTGTATACTTGAATTTGATTATTAATACTATCACTGCTACTATCAGAAGAATCAGAGGAGGTCTCCTTTCTTGAAAGTTTCTTAGCATTTGAAGTAACCGATTTGACCATCATTTTAGCAGGCACAGATTGTTTTCCCTAAAAATAGGCATCAAGTAAAAGTGATTTCACTATGACATAGCATGATTAATGGTTCTGAATCTATCTATTTTTAAAACTGAAATAAAAAAATAGTAAAATGAAATAAACTTTATGTTGTATGGTTTCAATGCTGCTATTTGAATAGGAGCTCGATGAATTAGATTTTTTGATAAATTGAGCAGACTTTTTAGGTTCATTTTTTGCGTTATTAGGCTGAAGTTTCTGAAAAAAATTTGTTCTCTATAATAAAGATATCAGAATAAAAGCTAAAATTAAATAAATAAATAAATAAATGAAATAATAAATAATAATAAATAAAATAATAAGTAAATAATAATAAATAAATAAAAATGTTGTCCCTAACATCTACTACTATCTGATATCTTTTTTACACGTTTCTTGACATTCAACATAAACATTTGCCAGTTTAGAAGGTGCAGATTACTTCGTTAAAAAATAATATTCAAGCCAAAATGACCTTTCTATGCACATTACTTGATTCAAAATTTATATCATTTTTTTAAAAAACTTTTGATATATATTGATAAAAAAATAAAAAGGACCTTAATTTGCATTCCTTCAATACTGCTATCTGAATCCGAACTTGACGAATCAAATTTTTTAGAAGATTGAACGGGCGTTTTAGATCCATTTTCTAAGCTATTAGGCTCAACCTTCTAAAAAAAATTTATACTCTTTAATAGCGATGCGGCTATACAGGAAAAGCTATAATTAAATATGAATTAACCTTAGATTGAATATTGTCGATATCATTACTATTAACGGAAGAATCTGATTTCTTTTTTGAGGACTTCTTAGCACTTAAAGCAACCGATTTAACCATCGGTTTTGAAAGTGCAGACTGTTTTCTCTAAAATATCATCAAATAAAATGATTATGTTCAATAGATAAATCACTTCATTATTTCCAAAATCCAATTTTTTTAAAGGATTTAAAGATTTACGTGGACAGAAAAGCAAAATAAACCTTAAATTGCATGCCTTCAGTGGTAGTTTCTGAATCGGTGCTTGATGAATCAAATTTCTTTCCCAGTTCAACATAATTTTTAGATCTAATTTTCGAATCACTGAACTGAACATTCTGGAAAAAAAATTTGAAAAAATTTGATAATGTTCTATAAAAATTTAATAACGTTCTTTAAAATTAAATAAAATAAAAAACCTTAGACTGGACATTACCACTACCACTGCTACTGTTGGAGGAATCTGATATCGATTTTACGGGTTTCTTAGCATTTGAAATAACCGATTTGACCATCATTTTGGAAGATACAGATTTTCCCTAAAATCAGTGCAGTCGGTGAAAATTTGCTATAATTATAATTGGTCCCAAATTTATTCTTTTCTCTAAAAGTAGATTTAAATAGAAAGGTGAAATCATGAAAATTTATGCAAACATAAATGAACCTTAGGTTTTGTGTTTTCAGTGCTGCTATCTGAATCGGAGCTTGATGAATCAGATTTTTTTGTATTTGCGACAGGCTTTTTAGATTCATCTTCTACATTATTAAATCGAACTTTCTAAAAAGCAAGTTTATCTTATCATAATGATGATAAATACTAAAATTAAAAAATAAAAATAAATAAGAAATATACATTAGACTAAGTATTATCATTATTACTGCTATTATCTGACGAGTTTGATATTTTAATGGATTTCTTGGCACATGAAGTGATTTCATCTGATTTGACCATCTTTTTAGATTGTTTTTCTTAAAGGTAATGGTTGGAATACCATTTCTTCCAAAGTGTAATAGTAAAAATAACCCTTAAATTTTATTGGAAAGTTGATTATTGTTGATTTTGCTCATTTTCATGCTTTTCTGTAAAAATTTATGCAATCAGATAAGAAAAATAAACCTCATGTTGTACGACTTCAGAATTACTATCTGAATCAGAACTTGATGAATCAGACTTTTTAGCAACTTTAGTGGTCTTTTTATATCCACTTCTCGTATTACTAGAATGAATTTCCTGAAAAACAAATTTCTACTTTATAATAATTTTAAAAATACGTATAATTTTAATATAACAACACTGACACTGCTATCTGAATCAGAAGAACTCGATTTCGCCCCAGTGTTTTTTTTAACGACTACAGCATTCGCACTTGAAGTTCGTCTCGCTTTTGAATTATCCTCACCCTTCTATAAAGCAAAATTCTAAAAATCCATTCGTACCAATATTTGCAATAAACATTTTCATTTTCAAAACTACCTTAAGTTGGGTCACTGTTTGGTCACTGTTACCACTATCACTGCTGCTGTCGGAATCAGATGTACTCTTGCCAGCCGAATGAGATAACTTTACAGCGGTATGGGCAGCCGACTTACTAATAAAAGTTTGAACCTTCTGAAAATTCTTTATACAGAGAGAATATTCACTGGTCAAATCGTAATGTTCAAAAAAGAAATTAGATTGACAGTACAAAAAAAACAAAAAAATTTGAGTATTTAATGAATTTAAATACAAACTTGAGACTCATCATCGCTGCTTGCACTATCTGAATCTGATGATGACGATTTTTTAGATAGAATGCCAGAAAACTTAGTGGCGGAAACACTCATCGTTTGTGTCTTTTTGAAACCATTTTTAACCACCTTAAAACGTAAAAAAAAGAAAAAATTAATCAATGATTAAAAAAATGATGGTTTTCCTTTGCCCATGTTTCGCTTTCTACAAACAATGTTATGATAGTTAAAGAATATTATACCCCGAAAGAGTATTTATTACTGGTTAGACAGATAAATCAAGGGGTACTCTAGCGACAGGTAAGTCGTTAACAATACCCGAATTTCAGATTGAGAGTGGAGCTATTCTATTCTTCATTTCTCCGTTAGGCGACACTGTTCAACGTGGTGCGTCGGTCCAATTCGAATCTAGGCCTCGATTAGATGGAAGATATCTTGCCATTAAATCCGACGTACCAATAACTTTAAATTCGATTCGAATGAACAATAAATGAATAATATAAGTCCTAACCGTTGACTTTTCTTCACTATCGCTATCACTATCAGATGAAGATGATGAAGATTTGCATGTCTTAAAGGTTTTTGCTGCTGATACGGTTTTTCCCTTAAAAATATTAAGTAATATTGAGCAATCAATTAAATTATTAAATAAAATTAAATATCATGCTGTTAAATAAAATAACATCTCGCAGAAGGACACAAATTCCTATGAGTAAAATCTTCTTAATATTTTTTATCTGTAAAATCTTAATGATCATCTTTATAGTGTCTTAACCTCATTATACCCAGTTGTAACTCCTTAACACAATATAGCTCCGCTTTCTTTAATGTCTCAGCAAATTAAATCAAAGCAAAGAAAAAATCAAAATTTATTTCAAAAAGTAAATCATACCTTCTGCAGATTCTCTCTATCATTGCTTACAGAAATTGGAACTGATTTTTTTTCCTAAAATTTGAAATAAAAAATCTAATATTGAAAGGCACACAAAAAACTTACGAAAATTTCATGAAAGACAGGATGAACAATTCGCAAAAGCAAAGGAAAAAACTAACTAAAAACTAATTTAAATAATCAAAAGTATTTTTAGAACTTTTTACTGGAGAAATTAAAAAACAATGAAAAATTTTAAATGAATAAAAATTTTTTCTATTTCTCTCTTATTCACTAAAAAAAAATTGAAACCTCAATTTTCGAATCACTACCAGAAGAGCAACTATCGTAGCTCGGATTCTCTAAAGCATATAACAATGATTTTAACATTTCGATATTTCCACCAGTCTCCTTTATGATTCCCAACAATTCCCTCTAGATAACATTTTCAATTATATAAGAACTAACAAAAGGTTCTATTTATCCAATTTTCTCATTTCGCCACTCGGAAACAAACTGGGTATCGAAAAAGGAAGACCAACTTTAAAAAGGTAGCCAAAGTCCATAAGCCAGAAGATCCTAACTTCCAGATTTCTAATATGTGCGATAAAAATAAAATGTCAAGACATAAACTCACATTCAAAGCAATCTAGGGAGGCAATCAATGAAACCGACTGTTTTTTTGATGGTTGGAATACCTATAACGTCGCCTTTTTCAACAAGAGAGTGTTCATTGAGACTAAAATCAATTAAGATATGTGATCATCGGTCCAAGATATGAAATTCTGTTCAAGCCATATGTTTGCAACCATCGACATGCAGGAAAAAATTTTTCGAAAAAATTTAAGACCGATAAAACTCTAAAAGATTGAATTCGAAATTGAACTCTTCAAATATTCTCCTTCGTAATTCAGCAACAATATTCACTTGTCTGAGAAAAAGAACTAATATCAGATGACAAAATGCAAGCATGCAGAATTATGACGCATCATAACAAAGATGAGTCAAAGCCAGGACAAGAACTGGTTCACCAAATATTCACCTTAAGAAAAATGTTGGAACACCGCTTTTAATATCGAAATAACCTAACGCCATTTACTATTTTACTGATTTTGCTGCCGAAATGAATAGATAAAATGGTGAAAAACAATTTTTCAACATAGATTTAAACTATTATGAAGATCACCCGATTTATTAAGATATTTTACCGACAGCAAATCCATGGGTATAAGGAATTTGCAAAATAATAAATAATAATAAAATAGCTCTTTAATGTTCATTATGGAATATATATGATCATCGTTTATTGAAAAGGTGTGAAAAATAGCCAAACGAATGGTAATAGCTTTTTTCGATGATGACTGTGAAGAATTAAAAGTATCCTCAATCGCAATGAAAATTGGACCTCAGATATAACGAATTATGTGTTATATATCAGATGTTGAGACTTAAGTCTACTCTTCCACTAAAAGGGCAATTTGAAAACAAAATTTTAGACAACGATCGTGTTTTCTCATTTGTAGAAATATTCATGGAACCACTGCAAAATTAACAAAAGAGAAAAGAAGATTCGCATCTGGTTGCAGACGATATTTATTTTAAATTGGCAAATAACGAATAAAAATGAAAAAGAATTAAAATAAAAGAATAAAAAGAATTTTATCCATTTTCTTTGTAATTCTTCATACATAATATTCTAAAAACTCACCGTGCCGAAATATTAAACAAAAGGGATAAATTTTGAATAAGTCGAACGCCTAGGAAGAGTGAAAAAAAACTGTAATATTGTTATCAGATGTGGCATTTGATCATATGTTTTACAAACAATCTATCCTTTAACTAATGTAGTTAGCCTAATCAATAATGGCACATGATGTTAGACGAAGAAAAAAAACTTTTTCAGAGGGTAAAATGTAGATTCTGAGATAAAATAGCGTGACTCTGAAGTTTACTGATCACTGAGCCAAGAAATGCGAGACTAGTAAAAGAGAATAAGAAAATTACCTTTACTGAATCATCACTAAAGCTATCACTTGAAGAATTTTTATCCATTTTTTTAATGACATTTTCCCCCATTTCAGGTCGTTTATTCTAAAGTATTCGGTTAGATTAGAAAAAAATGTACTGATATTTATACGAAGTATAATATGTATGTATAATATAAAAAATTACTTTAATTACTTCAACAAATAAAAAAATTAAAATTAAAACTTTTGGACTGAAGGTTGATGAATCGATCCTCATATCTTCTCGCTTACGGTTTCCATCAAGAATTTTTTTCTGCAATGATCGATATCAGCCAAGCATATAAAAACAAAAATATAAATTAAAAATTATCGTAACTTCGCATGAAACTCATAACAGATTTGTATCTCCTAATGGAAAATTTTCGATATGTTCTACAGAACATAATTTTAAAAGCAACAAACCAAAGCAACTTTTGCAGGAGAGGTATCGTCTTCCGAAGTAGTAGTGGAATCTGAATCTGACCTTTCACCCTGTTTCAAATTTTTTTTCACTGGTAAATCGCATGTTTCCTCACCAGCTGGTCTTTTCCTTCTAATGATTCTATTATAATCTTCAACAACTTCTGTCAACGATTTAAAATGTCCCGATGACCGCTACAATATATTTTTTGGATAGAAAATATATTTGGATTAGTAAATATCAAAGAAAAGGTCAAGATCTTCAAAAATTATTTAGCAAATTAATTAATGAGATCTATTAAAACTAACTCGTTTTTCTTCTAATTCACTGCGCCGTTTCGCACTATAAAATCGGTTTAGAGCTCGTGGTTCTTTTTTTGCAATATGATCATAAAAAAGTAATTCAAAATCCACTTCTGTACTATCATTCATTGCCTCTAATCAAATTATTTGTGGTAAATTTTTCTAAAATAAAAAATGAAAATCAACAACAGCTAAAAATAATTTCAACGAACAGGTATTAAACAGAAAGAGAGAATGGTCGAATGATATACTCGTTTTTGGGTAAAACCAAGTCACCATCGATTCATCTAATGGTTACTGAACAAACTGAGACTTCGCCGAATTTTTATTTAATAGGAGAAGACTTCGCCGAATTTTTATTTAATAGGAGAACTTATATAATAAAATTCACCTAACATCTAATTTTAAGAATCACAAAAAATCAGATTTAAACAAAAAAATAACCTCAAAATTAAAAAATTAAAAACTTCTTCAAATGAAACCAAAAAAGCACACAAAAAAGTGATGTGGACTGATATAAAATTCTTTTTCGTATTTGAGTAAAAAGTCGTAGAAATTCTAAAATTTAAACTGAACAGTATAAGTTTAACATCTGAACGACTTTTCTTTAAATGGATTTCCCATAACATGAAATGAAAAAAAATGTTGCGAACATTTCCTGCATAAATAAGTTTTATAGTAAATAAATAAACAAAAATAATGAAGAAAAACAAAAGAAAATTGCTGGGACAAATTTTCGATGAGAATTTTCAACGATTACTCTTTAAAAGATAAAATATCCCTAAAAGCCATCAATTATTATTATAAACATTTTCTTCAAAAGAAACTCAGTTAAAATATTTTTTGAAGAAGAAAATATGAATTGCGGAAAATTTCTGCTGTCTTTTTTTGTCCAAATCGTTTCAAATACCACTGTAATTTGTAAAGTTAAAACGAGTTCTTATTTACTTAATTATTAGATTCTTACCTAAATAGGTAGGTGAATACTTGGTGCGCACATTTTAAATAACCCCTTCCCACCACGTCCTCCTCTCCATTTCCCCGCCACTCCCTCCCCACCGCTGAAAACTCAGCATATACAAACCACCAGCCTAAAATTTATGCATCATCCTAATATTCCATAATAAATACTCCGTCTACTAAAGTACAGCTTCAATCACTCTCCGAGGATTAAAGACTTGGAAAAGCTGAATTTTTCAAAAAGTCGTTCAATGTGGAGGTGCAAATTTTAGGATGTATTTTGCATGTTTTTTGTGGTTTTGCATTATTTGTGGTGAAATTGCACAAATAGGGAGTCGATTTTTTCGACGAAGCGAAGTTAGTTAATGATTCCATTCTTTCCGCAGCTGTGTTAATTCTTATAAGTTATTTAGCTGACGTTTTTCTAAAGGAGAAGTATTTTTTGTTGCGGGGAGATTATTGAAATAAATTTCTTTCATTGGATATAAAAATAAAAATAACTTTCAGGTGGGGAAATTAGTGCGATAAAATGGAAAGTAAAAAAGTTGGGGCTGCACGAAGTGGCAGGCAGAAGAGCTCTACTTCCACCCTCTAAAGGTCATGAAGCCACCATCAAATATAGATTTCGGTTAGCCGTGGCGAACCTACCCCATCCCACACCTCCATTCCTTTTATTCTCTGCTTTCAGCCTAAATCGAACAGTTAGCTAAATCACCAGAATTTATGAGTGCTTTTGAAGGGAGAAAAATAGTAAAGGATCGCTGTGAACATTGAAAGCGTGTTTGTCGGTACCTATATGTTGTAAACTTTTTCTGTTTACGTGATCACGAAGAAGGTGGCTGGAGCATTTTTATCTTCATTTATGTTTATGTTTTGTCCTCTTTTGTTTCTCAGCGATAACATTATTCACTTTCGAAGACTGGTTTAATTGGAGTTTTTCAGTTCTATTTATTGCTATCGTTTGTCTTCATTTTGAGTGATTTTAATTAACAGGTTTTTGTATATCATAAATTAATAATAATGTCGTTGATAATACCGGAGAAATTTCAACATATCCATCGTGTTATGAATACGAATATTGATGGGAATCGAAAAATTCCATTTGCTTTGACTGCTATCAAGGTTGATAGTTCTTAATTCACATTAATTACTGCATTTTGGTTTTTCCTCTTAGTCTTCCATATTAATTTTTATTAATTTGTTGTTAATTTCTTTTTTTAGAATATCTTTTAAAGCCTCTCTCAATTTTCTTAAACAAATTTCTCAGTAAATATGTTCGGATGCCTTAGACTAATTAAAAAATTAAAAGCTAGTTCTAGGGTGTTGGGCGAAGATTTGCATTCGTTGTTTGTCGTAAGGCTGGTATTGATATAAATCGAAGAGCTGGAGAATTATCTGAAGAAGACATGGAAAAACTTACGCAAGTGATGTTGAATCCAAAACAATATAAAATTCCAAATTGGTTCTTGAATCGGCAAAAAGATGTGAAAGATGGGAAATATTCACAAGTAAATTAACTTTCCTTGTCTTTGATTGAACTTTATTTTCCATTTTTTCTTCTCATATTTGAAAGATATTTACTTTTCTTAAAAATACTTTTAAAAATGTTTTTGCTCTTCTTTTTTTGTTATTAAAATTTTCTTACCATTTTTTTATGATAAATTTTTGATTATAAATTAATTAGAATTAATTAGAAAAGTAAGTTTTTTTCAATTTTTTATTTTAAGATGCTTTCAACTGCTTTAGACAACAAGTTGCGTGAGGATCTTGAGCGTTTGAAAAAAATTCGCCTTCACAGAGGTACTTTTTTCATTTTTACCATTATTATCATTTGCCATTTGATTTTTATTGTTAATGAGAGGAAATATCTAGTAAAATCATGGCAAATTTTATTTTAAGATATGGGTATGGAAATTTTTTGTCATTTCTTTATTTAATTAATTAAATCGTATATACCAGTTCCCATTAAAGGTTTGCGTCATTATTGGGGTCTTCGAGTTCGCGGTCAACATACCAAAACTACTGGTCGTAAGGGACGAACCGTTGGTGTATCGAAAAAGAAAGGCGCTTAAATGAAAATGAAATATAAACCAGGTTGCAGAATTGAGTATAAAAAAAATCTTGTTGATTTATTTTTTTGAATAAACTCTTTTTTTGCGGTATATTGCGGTACTAAATATTGTTTTCCGATTTGAACACCAAATTGAATGTCTGTCTATGCGAATTTATCAAATATCCATCAAATCGATTGCTTTCTTACTCGTCATCAAGAAATTTGAGTGATAAGCAAATTTCGATGAAATTGAAATGAAATTGAATATGGTTTCAAACAATAAAAGCAATTCAGGTGTATCTTTGCCACTAATTTTGGTAATAGTCAAACGATAAAGCAAAAGTAATGATGAATTTTTTGCTTTCTACTTAATTTTCCTGTGAACTTTTGCAATACGTTTTTTGTGGAAAAACTGGAATAAGGGAGAGGGGAGGGGAACCGTTCAAAATTTCATTTGGGAAGAAAAATCTATATAGGAATACATAAAGAGGTTTAATTCATTTTAAAAAAAGGAGAGTTGGATAATTTTGTTATTATTGTCATTCTCTCTAATTTTTTCTCACAAATTTAGAGGCTTCAAATATATTACGCAATAGTGTATGGAAAGATTAATAATAAGTATAATTTATTTTCTGAAGAAAGTTGATTAATTTTTGAATTAAATTTAATGTAGAATGTTCAGCAGTATCTTAATTTCACCTTTAGTAGTAAGTATAATCCCATTATAAGGATATTAAAGACAAAGAAGGTAACAATGATTATTGAAGTTGGTTGTTCTATATTTCAGCTGAACTATCGCTTATTTCCCATTTTATCTAGAAATATTTTTATATAATTCGTTTGATTTATCGGCGAATGTTTATGAAACAGGGAAACGCTGGTTCACTTTAAGGAAACGTTTTTCGAATTGATAAAATTTGTCATGGTGGATGCTCATTGTTTATTTGCACAAAAATTTGTCGCTTCTCAGTTCTAAAGCATATTTGGTATACATGGCAGAAATTAGCATGCATACAACAAAGAATAGTTCATTCCATCGGGATTACTGGTTTCATAGCTCTTTTATCAGATAAATGACTGGATATTTTATAGATAATGAATTCACTGAAATTTCGATGAAGAATTCTCCATATTAATAATTTATTGATAAAATTAGTTTTATTATTTTCTATGAAAAATACTATAAAAATCCAGAATAAAGATTAAATTTCAGTGGTTAGCTCCACTGGAGATGTTAGATTGCTCTGTTTGACGATGGAACCCGGATTTTTGAGCGAACAGGGGGCAGAAGAATCCTTGCCCTCTCAATACTATAGTCTGAATTATTATCCACTTGATTATTTCTTAACCGGCATTATTGGATTTCCATACGAAGAAAACCTTTCAAAACTGATTTGTTCAAATATTAAAATTTAAACTGCTTTATTCTGTACCAGATTATAATATTAGCAAGCAAATAGTAAAATCTTCGATAAATTCTGGGCGTTGGAAAAATAATGTAAAGGTAATGATTGATAACACTGATTACAGGGCCTATTAAATATATTTTCGGTAGAAAATGGTGAATAAAATTGTGATTAATGGTGATGCTACGGTTACGAAAAGTTCCTCATTGCATATCGCAAAATAAAATAGAAAAGACAAATAAATCTTTCAAAAATATATTTTATGAATATTATTTAAATATTCCGGATGCATTCTTTCTTAAATATCGATAATGGCAATTTTCTATTTACTGGCAGTTCGAGTGATTTGATAGCGATTTACTGATTATATGGAAAATGCTAGTAAAAACCCGTGTTGGCTTAATAAAATCTCAATTTTATTGATAATCGCACATTTTATGACCAGATATAAGAGGATCGAATCCAAGTCTCAAAGCTTCCTGTATTTCCTGAAACAGGCCACTTTGTTCTGAGAAAATATTCAATTGAGATATTTTTTGCTTTGTCTATCAAAATCAAGAATCACGAATGATACAAATCATACAGCTTCTAAGACTTACTTGCACCCAGCAATCGTAAGCATATAATCCTCCAAGTGATTTAAAGCGATCTCCAATCCACGTTCTGTTATAATAAGTAGATTTGTAATAATGCCCTGGATCAGCTAATATTGTTGCGATAACGATTCGTTCATCGTTCTTGATAGAACTTTCGCTTAAAAATTCTTTACTCGCAAAAATTAAAATAATTTATAGTGATAATCGAAGGTGAAGGATGTTCAAATGAGAAGCATTAGGTCACTACAGATTTGGTTCATATCCTGATGATATGAAATTATAATTAGAAGTGAAATCAGGTTAAGACTCACTTGCATGATACCGAACTGATACCAAAAATAAACGATAGATTTGAGTACGAATTTGCCAAATATCAGCAACTGACCTTTGTGCTGCAGCAATATGTAAACAAGCAACGAAATTGGTTCCTGAACTGGTACCTCCATCTATTCCCAACTTTTGAAGTACAAGCATGGCAGCTGTTGATGCAAGATCATGAATTTTTATCGCTCGATCAATAACTACGGACAATAAACTAAAAAAGTATAGTTTAGTTTTTCAAAGTAAGTATAGTATAGTTTTTCAAAAACCATTTGATATTATAGTAATAATTACGTTTAAGAATTTTGATATCAAATAAATTTGTACCTTGAAGTCACTCCATGCTTTACAGGTCCCATAGGACCATAACCAATTCCGGCCATTCCTGGGCTCCGCCAGAAATGTTCCCCACTCTCATTTGAGAATCTCGCATTCATGACATAATCATAATAAACAGAAAATTGGGTATCAGCAAGGACAATATTTGTTCTCAAACCATATTTTTTCGAATATCTTCCCACAGAGCTTATCGTTCCACCTTAAAGTAAATCCGTACTTTTGGCTAATTTTTTTCCTTTTTAGATGACAACTTCTAAACATTTCTAAACAAACTGGCTCCTTTAACTAATGATTATACCTCAATATTCATATTTTGCATTAAAAAGGACTTTAAATTTGCAAGAAATTTTGACAAATTTATTGGCCTACCTGTTCCCGCAGAATGTACAAAGTAATGAGGAATTTTTGTTGAATGGCTTCGATCTGAATTCAACTGCGACAATATTTCGTGCATCATATTGGTACTTTCCAGGTCAAAATTCCCACCTAAAAAATTCTACCTTTTTGATTAAAATAAATGCCAAAATATTTTTCAAAGCAGTAAAAACAATAGAAGTTACAGCTCGCATTTTGCTCGCTTAAAAATAAGATGCTAGCCATCCGTCTGTAATTTTTTTGCCAAATGATTCCCTGGTAAAATTTTAAATAAAACCAGGAGAAGGAAAATGAGCTTAAGCAGAAATAGCGGATGCTAACCAATGCTTATTTGAACGAAATGGAAAAACCATAGAAAATTATTGAATAACACTTTTTTTGTTAATGTATTATTTATAATATTATTTCGATTAGTAATAAAAATACTTTCGTGAAATTCTTCAGCACGATCAGAGTTCGCGAACTGATTCATGAAGAAGCCGCCGTTTTTTTTTGCTTCCATTTCAGCACGAATCAATCGCTTCCCGATTTCTGTCTTAATCACTTCACCGCCATGTTCACGGATGTGTTCTACTTTTACGTCTTCTATTGTATCTGGTACCTTAAACGCCATAAGCGCTTATCCTGACAGTAATCTAGGAGCACCTAGGAACAACTGAGCCAATTTAACCAGTAATGATGAGAGTTATTAGAAGACTTTTAACAAATACATTCATCCTAGAAAACGGCGATTACAAAAGATTAAAACACAGATTGAATGGCGATAATCAGTTCTAATTTCCAAGCTTTCTGGCCTTCAATTCGCCAAATGAATAAGCTAATGAAAGTTATCCTAAAAATGGCCCGAGTATAGTGTTTATATAACTGTTTCGAAAATGGTTGGTGATTTTCACAATTCAATATTAGAAAAAGTACGAACAATAGCGACAAACTTGACTCCAATTAGTTGACACATATAAGCTTCACTGGTTGCAGTGTTCCCAGAAGATGCTTCATAAACAGTTGTATTTTCATTAATTTTCCCATCGACAACTGCCCACATAATAAGTGCCCATGAATATCGATGCTTTACACTTCCTGTCCTCGATGCTGTTTCGTTTTTGAACAAGATCTCTATATTGCGAAAAGCTGGGCTCTAAGAACAAAGTTTTATAAAGAATCATTCCTGGAGGACCATTAAAAATGAATACTTTTTGTCTTTTGGTTTGAAATTACTAGTTTGGTACCAAATTTAATTTATTTTGCTTATTTCTAAAGACTGCCCGAGATTTAGCTTAGGCTAAATAAAAGAAAAAGTCAGCAGTTCAGCTATCAACACCATTTAACATGGGGGTAAGATAGTCGATTGAGTAGTGGCTCGGATTATTACAGAGAAAAGTGAGAAACGAAACTAGTGTAACAAAAAAGCATTACTGTTAACTTGAACATTGGAGTTCGACCCATTTTCGCCCTTTCTTCCCATAGCTTTGCTATTGCGTTGCTTCGCCATGAATTCAAACCTATTGCTCATTCGTTGAATTTACTAATTAAAAAATAAAAATGGACGAAAATAAAATGAGTTTAATGATTATAATTTTTTCAGTTTTCATTTTTTCACAGATTTCTAGAATTTTTTGTTCTTTGAATATTTCGCCGTATAAATTCTATGTGACATGCAGCCGAAAATTGAAGCAAAGGTAAGTGTTTCGAACATTAAATGAGCAATAACTTGATTATTAGCAGACCTTTTTGCAAATCGGATGGAGTATGCGAAAGTTTATGCAAACTTTGAATACAGTGCACCAACGTTAAGTATATGAGTAGTATGACATATGGCATAACTGCAATTATGCACAAATTACAACTATAATAATAATCGTTGCCAATCGTTGCAATTTTTCACTGCCAATATATTTTTTCAAACAGTATAGTACTCTTAGAAGTCAAAACAAAGCTCTTCCATCAGAATTATCGGTTTATATGAATTTTTGCTTTAACAGTTTTTTGTATTCTTTGATAATTTTGCATTTAAAGATTTTCAAGAAAAATGCTTTTTGAATTGCTGGATTTATAAAAGCAAATGATTCGCTAAAAAACAGCTGGAGAAAAAATAAAGTGCGTGAACAGCTGTTATTTACCTGACGCTCAAGTAATCACTAAGCACTTCCATATATTCATCTATATTCTCTTATGAGAATGTCTCATCCTAGTAATGAGAGAAGCCAACTAAAACAAAAGTGATGATTAGACAATTGGTGGTGATTTGAATCATTTTTAAAAATTTCATCCTTAAAAGAATATGTGAGCAAAAAATTGTTAATTTCATGGCAATACGACTGCTCTTAAATTTATTTTTCTCTTCTCTTCTCTTAAAATAAAATATTAAAGGAAAGTAGGAATTTTAAAAAATTTTTGCTGAATAATTGAGTTAAGACGATAAATTGGTGAATAAAATTCTATGTGAATGAAAGGAATGAAATATTTGAGAATTTTGTGGCAATAACACAAAAGACGATCAACAATCAGAGTGCCATTTTGATATAAAAATATTTATTTACAAATAGTAAAAAATTTATCGAAAGTTTTTTTCCACAAAATAAAATTCTAAGGGCTCGGATTGGAGTTTCGTAGCTTTTATTTTACTACTCTTTGCTAACGGGTGAATGAACATTTTTGCCAGAGCGGCAGTTTCAAATTATTACAAGTAGGTGTATTTCAACTTGAAATTGATCTCAAATTATATCAGTTGAAATCTTCGAATGAAACTTCAACTGAAAGAAGAAAAAGAAAGGTAAGAAAGATGGTCCTCAATTTGGCAGAATTGAGAAATTTGAGAAAAATTAAAGTTCAAAAATTCACCAGATTTGACACCATAACTGGCCATGAAAGAAAAAATTTACAAAAAAAATTCTATCAAAAAATTTAAAAAAAAAAAAATTTCATAAAAGAAAAAGTTTTGAGTTCCTAAATTGACCAAGAAAATTAGTTAACTCCAAATAATTGCCTTGTTCGAGGTTTTTAAACAGCTCTTTAGCTTATTACTCACATAAGTAAATAGTAAATAAGTGGTTAATTGTTCACCATTTCTCGTTTACGATGAGGAATTTTTGAATCATTTGGCGGTGAAAATATCGATGGACTACCTCCAACACTCGGATTTCTTAAAGCTCGTCTATTGGATTAGAGAATTTTGCAAGAGCACCACTTGGCGATAGAAATATAAAAAAAATAAAGGACAAGAAGTTGGAGTTATGGTGTCTATCTAGTGAACTTTTGAATTTTTTTTGAAATTTGCAAAAATACCAAAAGCGATTTTTCCTGCCGGAAATGGAACTCCAGCATCGGCGTTTCGCAATAACAGCAATAACTAACCAGGCCATTCTTCCTTATATTCCCGCCTACACTCATTCAAATATGGAATTTAATGGCACCACAAATATTCTGATTCCATTATTTTATTAAAAAATAAAAAACCCAGTACCAAGAGAAATATTTATAAATATATTTTCATTAAGCTTTCAGGCCGGAAAATTGATGTTATCAAATAATTAACGAATAAAAAATATTTATTCATTTATCAAAATATTTATCAGTTCTTAAATAATCAAGGTTTATTGGTCTGGTATTGCCGACGACTCGCCTATACTTTTCTCTTAAGTGGCTCCATGGCAAAAATTTCTGTGCTGGCAGTGGAATGAGCGAGAAATGGTAAGCGTAAACCATTTTCTTTGCTTAGTTTTTTATTGAATCGAAATTGGAAATAATTTAAATTTAAATAGAATATAAAAATCTAAAAAATGTCAACTACATGGAAAAAAGTTTTTTGTGTAATAAGGCTTAAATTTCTGGAAAGATTAATAATTTTCATAAAATGTAAAATTCAATAACGAAATTTATAAAAAAATTCAAAATGCGTTTGCAAAACCAAAAGCGAACGAAAAAAACGAAAGGATTATGGTTTTTTTTTTTGCTACCATAATGAAAGAAACGAAAGAAGAAAAACGTGATCAGAAATGAAATGGTCGAAAAATTTTAAAAAAAATATATAAAATGGATCGATTGAAGAATTCCTCAAGAATTCCAAAATCCAGAATTTTTAAATTATTCAGAAATTGAAAATCCAGAGGTTTGAATCTCATAGATAATCTTTTTTGGAGTTGGATAACTGGGTAGATGGTAATTCAAGTACCGCATTAAGAGCAAAAGGCTCTTATTTAAAAATTTAAATAAAGTTAAAAAACCCAGGTGATGCTGGTGACCCTTCTGTACTTTCACCTTCAAATGACTCTCTCATAAAAATTCTTCAGCAGTACTAATAATAATAATACTAGTAGTTAGCCAAACCAGAACTTACGGACTGTATTAACCACTTTCTTACTTCTTTATTACTTTATTTTTATTTTTTCTGTCATCTAACGATTATTATTATTATTATTATTGTTATTATTATTATTATTGTTATTATTATTATTGTTATTATTATTATTATTATTATTATTACTATTATTATTACTATTATTATGCATTAAAATATACTTGAAAATTCAGTTTTTTGATAGAGAAAGAAATTGAATAGATTTTTATGCCTTTAAAAAAGGTGAATTCGCTAAAATTTGGTTAATCTTTTAAACTGATGAGAATATTACATGTTGGAAATCACCTGGAAATAGGGAATGCAATAATTATGACTAGATAAATTAACGTTTCAGCAGTACAGCTATGTACCTCTCATTCGAATAGCTCCATTTCCATTCATTGCCACTTCTGTTAAATTATGGCTTTTTTTCTCTCCTTCATCAGCGAATCACTTCTGAATGAAAATATAAAATAGATTCCTATGGCTTCAATTCACCAAAAGACGAGAATGCAGCTGATCATGCTTGCAGTCGAAGCAAAAACTGGACAGGTGTGGAATACTAAGATTTCTATCCTTAAATAAAGCAAGTGAAGTAATTCATTTCATCTTCTTCTAACTTATATTTAATATTAGATTGGTTCCACTTGCTAAAAATTTAAGGTGCCTCTGATCGATGAGATGCTGTGTCTGAAATTAAAAGAAACCTCTTCTTTTCCACCTTCTATGTTTATATATACGTTCAAGATTTGGTTTGACTGTATGGTTCCTGGTTTGGATGAGTCATTGCTTTCGGGGCAGCCATTGTAGGTTTAGCGAGTAGAGATGGTCAAAGGTTTACAACTTGGTATTTTTTTTTTTCCTTTCTTTTTCTTACCAATTTTCATTCTTCTGTTTGCAGCAATAGGATGGTGCATCACAACCAGACATATGCGAACTTTCGAACGTTTTAGTGGTGATTCTATAGAATTCGCCAGATGAAGAAATATATTTCTGTTTGCAGCTATGAGGGCTGTGGGGGCTGTAATTTCGTCCTTCTTTTTTATCATTTGGTGCAAAAATGGATCCAAGATATTTAAAATCTATCACTTCATCACTTGTGATGAACTTATGAAAATAGGACTTATGAAACTTATGAAAATATAAAAGATGAAAAGACTATTTACATTTTTATCTTATTTAGAGTAAATCCGTCTTTCTGTTATGTCGATATACTGCCTGGCATCTCTTGCATTTCTTCATAATCGTCAGAAAATATGTTCAAGATATGTGATATTATGCTGTGGACTAATTTATATATCTCTTGAGTATTGGGAAAACAATCTATCGCAATTGAATATATATGTAGGCGAAAGGGCATAGCCCTGAGGAACATTAGTTTTTTCGATAAAATCTATGGGTACACAGGCCCCTATATATAGTCCTGCCCTTATGAGTTGAATGATCTCCGGGATATCACCACATTTCATTAAAGTATCAACTGAATCGAAGCAACTGAAGAAATAACTGAAATAACTGATCCCTTTTGTTTGGCTCATTATTTAGCGAATTTATTATTATAGTAAGATTTGTATTTATTTGTTATCATCATAATCGACTAGATTTTCGATGTTGTCTGGAGAGACTGGTTTTACGCATATTCATCAATTAAAAATCAACGATTTAGGCTCAAATCCTAAGTAAATAGAAACAATAATGATGAGAGGGGATGATCTAAGATCTGATATGAGGTCTGGCATTAAGTTCGTGATAAAAGTTGAAAGAAACTAGCTCCAGGGCAGTAGGCCACTTTTAAGGTGATCAAGACCAAGTTATCATAAATCTCCAAGTAGTGTTGCCCTACGTTTATTTATTCATATCTCCAAATAACTCCACGACGAGGAGTCATAGCCCCAGAAACAATGATTGTTATTAGAAGAAGAATTCTATTATTCAAATCCAAGATGATACTTTATCCAAAAAAAGTTTTAATCAATAATTGATAACAAAAAGAGATTTGGGATGGATGGATTGATTATTTCACACAATATTATGATGCAGAAGAATGATAAAAACCGGTTCTTGTTGGCTTTTAACGCTTGAAAACGACGATGTTAAATTGTTTCTTGAAGCAAACCTTTTTAAAATTTTAGATGGCGCCTGTAGAATTTTAAAAACGTCTTGC